CAAATTGCGATTGGGGCGAGTGCCATCGGAGTGGGCAAGGCTCCATTTGAGCAGTCCTTCCCAGTTGGGTCCGCCGTCCGCCATTGTTGCTTCGTCTTGGAGGAACAAGAAATTATAAAGGAGAGAGATTAAAGCAGCAGCAGAGTTATATAGGAAGAATCAAGGACGTAGGGTACCGCTCGGACTCCTGACTTCAGAGGTTCCTGAAACGTCCGGTAGGTTCTGGATTGTTTGAGTTGCTCTACGACTGAAAAGAAGACACGAGCTGGAGGGCAACGAGTTGCTGGGCCTTGCCGGCTTGAGAGCTGCTAGTAAGATTAGGTGGGCTGGGATTTTGAGGCCCAATGATTTGTCAAGTAGGAGTTCGCCCTAGTTACGTCTAATCCTTTCAAAATGAAAAATCATTCTCATATGCCTTCAAATATGTCTTGAATATCGAGTATTATCCAGTCTAATCCATCATTTGTATCAAACGAGACCAAATTACCTCAGTCACAAATATATTGCGAACTAACAAAGAAGAGAGAACTTGTTTTTTTAATTTCATGGTCACTTACAAAGAAAGCTCCAATAATCAGATATGAACCAATCACTAGACTGGTTGTGCCATAACTCGGCCAATTCCAGGTATGTTGAAAGTAGAAGCAAATTTAAGGTATGTTGAAAGTAGATACGAATAATTTTCCACATTGGGAGGATTAGAAGGAGACTAGACATGAAGGAAACTTTATCCCTTATAATCCTATTGTTTTTATGAGGATTTGAACAAATAAATTTTCTTAATAAGTAATGCATATTCTACCTTCAAGTTGAATTCAATTTTTGTCATTTAATCCTTCAATATACTTTAAATGTAGTGAGTTATTCATTACGATCTATTCCTATAAGCCAAAAAAAGCTCTAAACTTAACGTTTGAAGATTCCATTGGTTGAGATTTAGAAAATGAACTCGTATATCTATTGCGCTCAACCCATATTAGATAACGACTAACTTAAAAAGTTTAAACTTTATAATAGTAAACCGCTAATACATATCAAACTTACAATACGTACACTACAACTATATGTCTATCGCCTTATTACTTAAGAAATCATGTGACGTTAAGGATATACATATAGTATTGTGAGATGAGATTTGCATTTGCCTCACACTTATTAAATAATTATATATATATATATATATGTATGTATGGGGGAAACGTGGATTATTCTGTCTCCCATGATAATATGTTCGTCTTTTGGTGTGTGGTGGGAGAGCCACTGCTACTCTTTCTCTTCGGTGAGCTGTAAAATGTTAAAAGAAACTCCACACGACATGTCGTCTTTGTGTGGCCCAATCCCCACGACAGTCGACATACCCCATTGCGTATGCAGTTGCGTATATTACTCTCACATACCAATTATTTTCCTTATTGAGCACTTTCCCCTTTTTTTACACTTTGCCTCTAAAGTGTTTGGGGGTTTCAGTGTGGTCCCTAACCATACTTTGGTCTCAAGTTGGTACTTAAGTTTTTCAAGTGTTTGAGTAAAGACATAAAGTGCAGACGCAAGTGTAGCCACATTTACTAGATCGTATGCTCTTTTTCATGAACTCAAGTTTGAATTCTTATTCTTGTATTTCATATTAGTTTAAAGTAAAACATTGTATCCAAAAAATTACATAAAGTGATTTTGCACAAAAGATGACATAATGGCATGTCTACTATCATAATGCCCTCCATCTCTTAACATGTGACTTTTTGTCATTGGATGAGTATTTATGGTAATCGAGTTAACAAAACAATTGGCGATAAGAGATTGTTTAGTGTTTCAATCCGTCATAGAACACCATATTAGACCTAGAATTCTAAGCCCTTCTTATTATATATCAGTATCTCACATAACTAATAGCTCTCTCTATACATTTGATCTTTTTTTACAATTTAAAAATTAATGAGCGTTAAGAGGTGGTCAGAAAAAAGAAAAAAAAACTCTAGATAAAATTTTGTTAATCATTAATTGTGTCGATTTTTTTATACACAATGTTTAAAGTTTAAAATAGTGTTTTCATTTAGACATAATGTTTAAAGTTTAAGCACTAACTTGGAACCGTAAAAAACAAAAGTCGAGGACTAAAATAGAACAACCACTTATATATAGGGGTAAAGTTGTAGTTAAAGCTTTATATCATTCATATTTTAATTTAATTAAAATTAATTTTCGCTTTGGGCCAATGCCAGCGTAAATACCACGCTTTTAAAACGAACAACGCGCTCCGTTTCGCTTCACCCCCTTCGAAACCTTTGTTTTCTCATTTCTCACGCTCCTCTCTCCTTCTCTCTCTCTACCTCTCTCCTCTTTGCTCTTGCTTCACTGGGCCTCCAATCCCACTCGACGATCTGAACCCCCCAGATTTCAATTGTATTCATCTGGGTCGCCGAGCATCGATTCCAATCCAGCAAAGATTCAATCTTTTCCCAATTTCGAAAACGGAGAAGAGAAGGCATCTTTCCCTCTTTCTCTGCAATTTCTAGGGTTTCCGATACCTTCATATGGCTTCCATGGCAGCATCGTCCTACTGGTGCTACACGTGTAACCGATCGATTCAAGTTCGGGTTCGGACCCAAGATTCGATCCTCTGCCCCGATTGCGGAGCTGGGTTTATTGAAGAGATCCCGACCCCGACCCGATCTTCTCCGCTACACCACCCATTTCCCACCGCCGCGATGTTCCTCGACAGCGCCCCGGTTTCTCAGAGCCCGAGCCCGCCTAGACTTCGCCGGAATCAGAGAAGCGGCCGCGATCGGTCCCCGTTTAACCCGGTCATCGTTCTCCGGGGCCCACCTGATACTGAATCTGACCCGGGAAGCTTCGAGCTGTTCTACGATGACGGAGCCGGGTTAGGCCTCCGCCCGCTTCCGTCGTCCATGTCGGATATCTTAATGGGGTCGGGTTTCGACCGGTTGCTCCACCAGTTGACCCAATTGGAAAATGGCGTCGTGCGGCTGGACCACCCTCCGGCATCCAAAGCCGCAATCGAGTCCATGCCCGTCATTAAAATCGCCGACAGCCACGTCTCGACGGAGTCGCACTGTGCCGTTTGCAAAGAGGCATTCGAGCTCGACTCGGAAGCTCGCGAGATGCCGTGTAAGCACATCTACCACTCAGATTGTATCTTCCCGTGGCTTTCAATCCGCAATTCATGCCCGGTTTGCCGGCACCAGCTCCCGACTGATGTGAGAGGCCCTCGCGGCAGTGGCAGAGCATCGCCGGAGAACATTGGCGTGGTTGGAGAAGAAGAGCCAGTGGGGTTGACTATTTGGAGATTGCCCGGTGGTGGATTTGCCGTGGGGAGGTTCACTGGAGGCAGAAGAGCCGCAGAGCGTGAGCTCCCAGTTGTTTACACGAGATGGATGGTGGGTTCAATACGGCGGGTGCTCCTAGGAGGATTTCATGGGCATCTAGAAGAAGGGCCAGAGAGAGTGGGGGATTTGCTCAGGCTTTTCGCAATTTCTTCTCTTTTTTCGGGAGGCTGAGAAGCTCGAGAAGTCGGTCTGGTAATGTGTTCAGTAGATCATCGCAGCGGAGGAGCCAGCGTTGGGCTTTGGAAGACAACTGATTGAGGTTTAGTGTATTGTTTTTATTTTTCGGGTTCTTCTATATTAATGTCGGAAGGCAAAGTTTGTACATTTGTTGTTTGTTTGGTGTAAATAGCAATACATGACGGGGAATTGAAATCGAGACTCCGAAGAAGAGATGGAATTTTTGAATTGGTAGAGACTAGGAATTAGTTTCCCCTCATGTGGGAGGAGGAGGAGGAGGAGGAGTGTGCTGTTGGCATGGACTTGGGAAGTTAGTTAACGGAGGTACTAGGCTTTGTGCTATTATTTGTATTACTGTTAGGATTTTCGGCCGTCACGTGTTGCAGATTTGCAGTGAAGTGACTTAGAAGGTGATGGCTGTTTTTGGTCCATTGTTGTACTTTTAGCATTGTTTTAGTCGAAAGTGATTGCTGCTTCACTTGTTTGATGCTGTTGAGTTGCATTTTTATGTTCATTTCATTTGGTCCAAAATGATGCTCAGAAATCCGCAATTCATCTAAAGCAAACTCTGTTTCAATCCTTGCCAGTTGCCAGCATGATTAGATCGTGAAGGAAACTATTTCCTCTAATCGTATCATTCTGTGGGGATTGAAATGGATAAGTTTTCTTATTGAGTAATTCTTCTACCTTCAAGTTGGACGCAATTTTTTCATTTCTTCTTGAACATAGCGGGTTATCCATTCCAGTCGAAATTCTAGAACACCAACAAGGTAGTATTAGCGACTCTCGATCAATGTTTCAATGAGCACTTGTTCTATCTGAGTAATTCCACTCATGAATATCTTCCTGGCTAAACATCATTGATGTTACCACAGATTTTATTCCCAACCTACAAACATGAATTGAATTACTGCTATAGGCTATAGCGACAAGACATTTATGTGGTCTATAATGTTTGCTTGTAAAACAAGTATTTCTCCATGGCCATTCCATTTTTAGCAAGTTTCTTGTGTTGGATGGGGGTATTGACTTCTGTGTGAAAAGTAGACTAGTGGACGACTCTCGGTCTGCAATACCAAACCTTTACGTGTAATGGCCAAGTAGCTATCTCATGAGTTGGAGAAAATGTTCCCTATCAACGAGATAAACATGTGATTGTATACAATAATACAATTGGTTACACTTAAGAGTCTATTCTGCGTTTCCATTTAATGTCTAATTTACTATATGGACAGTAGATGCTGAGCCATCGCAATCCTAGTCTTGTCCCATCGCCCTCATTGCCAATTATCCTGCTAATCCACAGCAATGCACCCCCTGGATCTTAATGTGCCACTGCCCACAAGGTGCTGCCTCTCAGTCGCTGCCACAGCCTGCTGGCAAGTTTTTACTTCATTGCTTTCACAAGTCACACAACCGTTCGTTTACTTCCAACCATCAGTTAGTGACTAGGCCTCCACAAGATTGAGGAAAAGGAGAGAAGCAAGGGGCCGCTTGGACCTCTATGTTTTATTTTCCTTTTTGTACAAGCGGTGTTTGAAGGTGGCATTCGAACTCAGGATCTCCGATGCAGATAAATGCTCGAAACTTATCTATTGAATCTGTGAAGTTGGCAGCAATGGCGTGGACCCAGCCTTATCTCAAAAACGACAGAAATCTTTGAGTTGTGCTGATGTGGCCCTATCCATTTAAAATTAGCCAATATCCATAGAGCGATAGACCTTGAACACAAACCATAACCTTTCCTCTTCCACCCTAAGAAACTCAAATTACCAAATTATCTTCGAGATGGGATCAATGTCTTCTCCTCTGACAATGATTTCTCCACAACCACTGAAACAGTCGGCAGTGGCGGTCGGCCGGAGCCCCTCCCTCTTCAGAATGCACTTTGAAAAGAAGAAACCGTCAACGGTGGTTGCTGCTATTGGAGATGTATCAGCTAATGGCACCCCTTACCTGATTGCTGGTGCTGCTGCTGTTGCTTTGCTTGGAACTGCGTTTCCAATCCTCTTCTCCCGGAAGGATCTGTAATTACTCATGACTACCCCTCTTGCATTTGATTGGTTTCCTTGTTTGCTAAGCATGATTCCATTTAAACGGAAGCTTGAAATGTGCTTGCTGTGTTGATTCTTTAGGTGTCCAGAATGCGACGGAGCAGGTTTTGTTCGGAAGGGAGGGGCAACTTTGAGAGCAAATGCAGCGAGGAAGGACGAGGCTCAGATCGTCTGTGCTCGTTGCAATGGCCTTGGCAAGCTCAACCAAGTAGACAAAAGATAGAATACTCTATGCCTCTTCCTTCCCTTCACATCCTTGTCTGTTTTGTAACTTTAATCTCACCTGCTGTCAAAGCTTAAAAACAAGATTTCTCTTCAACACTGTCGCATAAAACCTTTGGTTAATCATCACCATGCCATATAGTCCGTTTATAAAATGGATTGTTGATGTGTCATCGATATTCTGTTGATATCATTGTAGCCAATGAAATGTATTGCCATGTTATCAATAATGTATTGATAATATTGATGGTGTATCACTCACATACAAAGGGCATTGCATCCTTCACATTTTTATTAGATAACTGCTAATATATTCTTAATATTGTGTTGACATCATTGCAACTAACAAAAGGTACCAACATGTTATCAATAATGTAATTTATAATATCGATATAATATCTCTAATGTATGTTATCATGCACAACAGCATAGATTACATCTTGCAAATAGCATTTCTAGGCTGCCTGAAAATCCAAGAAACAAGTGAAGTATGTCATGGTTGCGCTACAGGCAAGCATTACATAGACTCGTTTCCCAAGAATCAACCATTGAGAGCAAAACGAACCACTTGAGTTAGGACACTCAGATGTGCGTGGGCCTATGCAAATTCCAACACTTAGTGGCAACTAATATTTCCTCACATTTATTGATGATCATTTAAGAATATGCTAGATTTACTTATTGAGAAACAAGTTTGAAGTATTTCAAGTGTTCAAGAAGTACAAGGCAATGGTGGAACTTCAAAGTGGTTTTAAATTGAAGAGGCCTTGTAAGTGATAAGGGAGGTGAATCACATCAAATGAGTTCACTGAGTTCTGTGAAAGTTTTGTCCTGGAAACACAATTAACTGTTTTCTATACTCCTTAACAAAATGGAGTGGCAAAAGGGAAGAATAGAACAGTTGTGAAAATGGCAAAGTCCCAAGGTATTTGGTTCAGTGTACTACTCACTCATACCAAATAACTTGAGGCGCAGCTTGAGGAGACTAGTGCCAGAGGCATTTTCATTGGTTATAGCACATGTGAGAAGGGCTACAGAATCCTCAATCCTAAAACACTGAAGGTGACAATATCAAGAGATGTAATCTTTGATGAAAATGGCAAATGGGATTAGGAGAAGGGCAAGTTGGAAGAGGTGTGTGTTCTACTCATTTCAAATGAGATCATTAAAGAAGATGACTTAGGGGTGGAAATCTTTGCAAGTGAATTTCCTACTCCTCAGTCTGAGCATTGCTAAGCTCTCAGAATCAACATGTCACTGCAACAAGTTCTCATTGTGGTCCAATTGATTTTGAGAACTTGATTCAACACATTTGAGATGGAAAAGCCTGAGCGAAGTATACGAAAATGCAACATGTGCATTGTTCAGCCTGAGAACTTTGAGGATGCCTCAGTAGATGAGTCATGAGAAAAGCTATGAGCGAGGAGATATCTAGATAAAAAAATAACACATGGGAATTGGTGAACATGTCATATGACAAGCCAGTGATTGGTGTCAAATGGGTGTACAAGGCCAAGTTAAATCTGGATGGGTCAATCCAAAAGAACAAAGGCTAGGCTAGTGGCAAAAGGATATGCACAAAAGTCAGGAGTGGACTACAATGAGACCTTTGCTCCAATGGCTCTCATTGCACTAGCTGCAAAAGAAAGAGAGATTATTTCAGCTAGATGTAAATTCTGCATGTCTAAATCGAGTATCGAAAGAAGAGGTATAAGAAGAGAAGGTTTATACATTGCACAAGGCATTGTATGGGTTGAAACAAGCTCCAAAGAGCATGGTATGGGGGATTGATTCATATTTTGCTCAATGTGGTTTTCAAAAGAGTATCAGTGAGGCAACTCTTTATAGTAAAACCAAAGGTACTGCAGGAATCATCATTGTAGCAATTTATGTAGATGATATTGTCTATACTAGAAGTGATCAAAGTTTGATGGAAGAATTCAAGATTGATATGATAAGCAAATATGAAATGACAGATTTGGGCCTTGTACACCATTTCCTTTGAATAGGGGTTATGCATACTGAATCAAGTATATTTATACACCAGAAAAAATATGCTACTTCTTTGCTCAAGAAGTTTGGTGTGTATTCCACTTGTTCCAAATGATAAATTAAGAAAGGATGATGGGAGTGGTGTTGCTGATCAGCTCAGCATAAAAGGATTGTAGGGAGCTTCTTGTACCTCATAACAACAAGGCCAAATATAATGTATGATGCATGCTTGTTGGCAATGTTTATGCACTGTCCAACTAATAAGCATTTTAGAACTGCCAAAAGAATCTTGACATATGTGCAAGGAAAACTAGATTATGGCTTGGAATATGAAAAAGGGAAAGGAAGTGTGTTGATTGGCTACTGTTGCAGGGATTAGAGTGGTTCTGAGAATGACACTAGAAACACTTCTGGTTATGCATTCACATTTGGCAGTGGAGTGTTCGTAGGCTTTAGTTAAGCAACAACATGTGGCTTTATCTATTGCTGAGGCTGAGTACATCAGTGCTTTAAAGGCTAATGCACAAGCAACATGGCTAAGGTTTGTTCTGGAGGATTTTCGTGAGTTTCAAACTGAAGCAACCCCTTTGAATTGTGATAATACCTGTGTAATAGCCATTGTTGTATAAAAATGTCGTGCGTCTTAACCTCGTACGCTGATAAGATGAATGACTAGGATTGGATGATGTAAATGTTGGGATAATCCCGCTCTATGTAACCGTTAGGGATTGAGCTTGTGATTGGCTCATTCCCTCTCACACACATTTCGTGTGAATTGAATGGAATAGTGAGGTCATAGCCTCTCTGCAAGTTTTTCTAGAAATTCCTCTTCATTCTCTGCAATTTTCTTATCGTTCTCAGTTCTTCTCTCCTTGATTATGTGTACCTTATCCTCAATAGCTTACTGCTTCCATTTCAAAATACTCGAACGCATTGCAGTTATGTTTAAGACTTGACATTCTATTTTCAAGGTTTCAAAAATGGACGCGACATAGTAATTTACATTTATCTTGTGCTGCAGTGTTATTTTTTGCTTCTTCATATACACTGGCGTAGCAGTATGTGGCTTTATGATGTTTGGAGACTCAATCCACTCTCAGTTCACTCTAAACATGCCTAAACAGTTTGTTGCTTCTAAAATTGCAGTGTGGACAACAGTATGGTTCAAGAAACTTGGTTCCTATTCATATATGAATCCAAACTATCGAATTATGCCCTAGTTTCGAATTGCATTTTCATCATGTTTTATTTTCTCGATTATACAGGTTGTGAACCCAATGACAAAGTATGCCTTGATGATGACGCGGTGGCCTTGAGTTTCGAGGAACTCTTTCCCGAAGCGTAGATGGGATCTTACTTAGTTTCGATCTTCGTTCGAACACTTCTAGCTAGTTCTATCAGCTTTGGCTGTGGCCATGAATTTTCATTACTTCGGTAAGTTGTTGAAAACATTTTGTTCTAACCATGTCATATTATGTTGTTGGACTATCAATATCAACTACTAACAAAGTTTATCTAGTTAAGTTTTAATTGACAATCGAGTGACATAGCATATCAGACTAGCATTTACTTTTGGAATAATAAGATAAGGCCAAACTCTAAATATAAATTCATTTTTGTGAATTGGAATGAAGGCTCTGTGATGGCATTGATTGGATCCTTTGCAGCAATGCTAGTGGTGAGTAACTTCTTTCTTATTTTTTCTTATGTATATGTGCATAACCCTACAGTACTATTGGGTGCAGTTGATCAATGAGTTAAATTAATTTAGTTTTTCTTGTGTTCCTTGGCAGGCTGTTGTCTTCCCATGCGTGAGTTATCTCATGATACTCGGGTAGATTAACAAAATTGCAGGTAATTAAGAAGCAAACCATCATTGTACTAAATGAAATTTAATTACCGGAAATCTTGTGTTATAAAATGGTTTTCACAAAGGTTTCTTGTTCTAATTTTCAGGTTGCAACCTGCATTATGATTGTCATTGTCGGGGTGGTGTGCTCCATTATTGGAGCATATTCTGCAATTTCAAGAATAGCTGAACAATTTGTGGAGTGAAATAGAAGGAAGAATTTCGAGTCCCACCTGTATACAAATTTACAAATCATGATTAGTGAGAATTAATTATCTCAAGATGTGCTCATTCGTGTAACTACCGATCAGCTTTACAACTTTCAACTGGGCTCTTAATTCTTTCAGGAGTATTTCTTCCTCAGTTAACACAGCCTAATATACAGAAGGGGCTTCGCCACAGGATAGCTAGCTGAGAGAACGAATGCGTGTCATTCTATTATTGGTTTGTTCGACCATGTAATACAAATTGTTGTACTTCATTAGGACTTAATACAAAATGGAAACAACAAGAGATAAATTTTATTATAACTCGGGTGGTAACTCAAACAAAGCACTACTTGATTTAGGTTAAGATACTGTCACTGTGATATTTTAATTGTAAGTAGAGTAATGTTATTCGTACCATGTTTTTATACCATATTTCTATACCACCTTAAGCGGCATTTGATGTGAAGAAGAAAGACTCCTCGTATATCACAATCATCATTTAATTAATTAGTTTTTCTTAATTATTAGTTTATTAAATAATAAACTAAATTTAAAAATCTGATTAATTCAAATGATATGACTGTCCACATCAAATGTCACCTAACGTGATGAAAATGTGGTACAAAAATATAGTATTAATAGCATTACTCTTGTAAGTAAGTTTTTCTCTGGCCATCTCATGCAGATGGCTTTATTCTACACATGCAACTAACTTGGTCCTTGTACTTGCTCGATAATGGGTTTCATTTGATTCCAGTTTTCTGATTCACAAGCCAAATAGGACCAGGAGCAATCCATTTGGAGAAATGGAGACTAATCATGCAAGAAAAAACATGAGTCCTGGTCCTGCCCCTCGAACAATTCAGCATTACATGTGCAACCGCCCTGAACGTTATGTTTGTAGTATTCACAATTACACATTGGTTTGCACATTGGCTGCCTCACCACCCATGCATATTGGATCTCACAATTTAACATCAACAAACGTAGGCCTAAATATTTCTCTCTTTTCTAAAAGAGAATACCTGTTTAACTCTATATTATATTATGATCATGGTGAAGCTTGCAAGGCCGCAATTGGGGAGAATCTCTCATAAAACATGTTTATACGTTTCGTTCTGTCTCGCTCGTTACAAAATGAGTATACAATATGTGCTGAGCAAGTTTTTCTCCTCTTGCAAGCAATCAAAGAGAAACACTCATAAACAAATTGTCTACGGTTCGTTTTGTTTTGTTCGTTACAAAATGAGTGTACAACATGTGATAAGTAAGTTTTTATTTGGCATGCATCAATAACTTGATCATCATTTCGAATCCACTAAGATCCGTCATATTGTTTTTTGATAAAAAAAAAAAAAAGAAAGATATGTCATATTGTTTGAAGTCCTTATATTTGTAGGGATTTAGAACTCATCTAGATCCAAATTGTGAGAATCTTCATATTTTAATCATTCATTGTGCATCGTACAGTAAAGAATTATTTGACTTTTTTTTATTTAAAATTAAACACAATAGTACCTGACGAAAACTGATCGCACAATATACAATGAATGATTAAGATGTGAGAATTCTTAGAATTCCCACAAAGTACATCACGAGAGAATCCTCTCCCTATTTGTAGGACCAAACCCAAAAACGAAAAGACCCTTAAACCGCAAGAATTGACTTGGGGGCCTCAGGGATTTTGTGTCATGTGATAGCTGTCCATTGCACAGCCTCACACAACGGCCTATACTCCCGTCCCCAGGAGGAGAGCAATCACTCATGGGTCACGTGCAAAACCCTCAAAAAATAAATTCAGAGTCCAACCAACAAAAAGAAAAGGTTGTCCATACTTTTAGCACGAGGATGCCATCATCAAATACCATTCAATTATTCTCACTCTATGCGCGTTAATATTAAACCTAGTAAACCCTTTTAATTAAAAAAATGATAATTAAAAACCTAAGTAAACAAAAGCACATTTTAAAGGGTAGATGAACTATATAGAGTCAAGTCGGCCTCCCATGTGAATTATGGCACCCTTTTTTATTAGTTGAGTATAATAATTTTCAGAATGTCATAAATATCCCAAGTCAATTATGCATTTTTATGTGTAAAATACTGTAATGCGTTATCAAATTAGAATATTGATACCGTAATATTTTAGATGTAAGTAAGTTTTTTTCATAAAAAATGGCATATTTTACCTTGGCATAGAGGGTTACATTGGTGTGGTGATTTTTATTTTTATTTTTAACAAAATATTATTATCTACATTAAAGGGTGAGAGAGTAGACCAAACTTCACAATGAACTAGTAATAATATGATTCAAATCCGTATTTAACCACTTTAAAGAATCTCTCGTTCTGAGAGATGAATCATGCGACTCTAATTGGGTAGAATCATCTAATGAATTTAAATCACTTTAAAAGCTATCTGAAAATTTTACCGTAATCATCTGGTGCATGATTTAGCAGTGGTAACTTTTATAAGGGCAATCGATTTTCAGGTCTCTTCAAACCAACTTTATAGAATGCATGGCTTTAGAATTTTAGTCACTTTAGCTGTAAATAAATATCTTTTTAAAGCGACAGACGCCAATGAACCATGGAATAGAAGGCTTCTTCGAATTTACATAACGATCTAACCATTTAAAAGAGTAGAAAAAAATGTAATTTTTCTTTAATAGTTTGAACTATTCAGTAGTACAAAAAGTGAACGATTGGGATTCAAAAATACAATTTTTACTTACTTGACAATATAATAGATACAAAACCAAGTTCACCCAATAATACCGACTATTGAAGACTTATTCAAGTAACTGATTTGTGTACCAAAGCAAACTAAGCAAAATCTTGTTGGGTTCAAGTGTGAGGCAATTACGTTGTAACCATGCCAAACGACATCATTGGGCTCTGTCCTCTGATATACCTTGTAGATGAGGAACTAGACTTTTCTCCCTTTCTCTTTCCATCTCCTTACATCCTCTTCTCTCATATTTTCTTATTTTGTCTTTCTCTTGCTATAAAAAATTAATATAAGATGTTGACGTGGCTTAACTGTGACCGTTCAAATAGGAGAGGAAGGAAGGGGAGGGAAAAAAAGAGGGGAGAGAATCCTACTCCATAGATGAGTGAGGATCCAGGATCCTCCAATCATATATGTTCATCATATATCGTGCAATTAGTTTTTGTCAGGTACTGTTTATATTCAATTTTAAATAATAAAAATTTACAATGATTTCTGACCGCACGATATACGATGAACTGATGTGATTGAAAGGTCCCCAAAATTCTCACAAAGAGGATCCAGCGAGGATCCTCCTAGCTTGTAGATCTCATTACTTGGAGAAGCCTTGGATGCAATCGAAATGTCAAGATCATAATATATTATTTAAAGTCAATCACTTGTTATCACGAATTAAAAATTTATATGTACATACATGTTAATAAAATTAAAAAACACATTACCGACTAGTTTAGAATGTCGTTACCATGACCGTGACATTTACCGGTAAATTTCTCTTTGTTAGACACTTATAAAACTGAGAAGGTGAAGCTTCTTTGCTGTCCCCAAAACACAGGACACTCCACATTCAACCTCATTTAATAGATACCCTTCACTCCCACTCCTTCCACCCAAAACACCATCTTCTACATTCTGCATCCCTTATACTATTCCAGTTCTACCGCCATCAACTCTATTAATTCCACCATGAAAGTCTGCACATTCTGCAACTCCATCCAAAACCCATCTCTAAAGTTCCAATCTTTTCTCTTAATCTTCTCAGCCACTCTCCTCATTTGCTTCACCGAATCCAAACTCCAAACTCCACCACTCATTCTACCCCTCAGAACCCAACAAATTCCATCTGGGTCCCTCCCAAAGTCCCCAAACAGGCTTCCTTTCCACCACAATGTCACCCTCACAGTCACCGTCGCAGTCGGAACTCCGCCGCAGAACGTTTCGATGGTCATCGACACCGGAAGCGAGCTCTCCTGGCTTCACTGCAACAAAACCCGGGACTATAACAACACATTCGATCCGACCCAGTCCACCTCCTACTCCCCCGTCCCATGCTCCTCAGCCACCTGCACGAACCAGACCCGAGACCTCACCATACCCGCTTCTTGCGACTCCAACAAGCTCTGCCACGCCATGCTCTCCTACGCCGACGCCTCGTCCTCCGAAGGCAATCTCGCCGCTGATACGTTCTACATCGGCAGCTCCGGAATTCCGGGTTTAGTATTCGGGTGCATGGATTCAACATTTAGCTCCAACTCCGACGAAGACGCGAAGACAACCGGGTTAATGGGCATGAACCGCGGGTCGCTCTCTTTCGTTTCCCAAATGGGTTTTTCGAAATTCTCGTACTGCATTTCGGGTTCCAATTTCTCGGGTCTCTTACTTCTCGGGGACTCCAATTTCTCATGGATCGCGCCATTAAATTACACGCCGTTGATCCAAATCTCGACGCCGTTACCGTACTTCGACCGCGTCGCGTACACCGTCCAGCTGGAGGGTATTAAAGTTTCGGACAAGTTGCTGCCGATACCGAAATCGGTTTTCATACCGGACCACACCGGGGCGGGTCAGACAATGATCGACTCGGGCACCCAGTTCACCTTCCTTCTCGGCCCGGCTTACACGGCCTTGAGAACCGAGTTCCTGAACCAAACATCCGGCATTTTGAAAGTCTCGGACGATCCGAACTTTGTCTTCCAAGGAGCCATGGATTTGTGTTACTGGGTCCCACAGGGTCAACCGAAACTGCCCCCGTTGCCTTCGGTCAGTTTAATGTTTCGGGGGGCCGAGATGAAGGTGTCGGATACCCGGCTGCTGTATCGGGTTCCGGATCAGGCTAAGGGAAATGATTCCCTGCATTGCTTCACATTCGGAAACTCTGATCTTTTGGGCGTGGAGGCGTACGTGATTGGTCACCATCATCAGCAAAACGTGTGGATGGAATTCGACCTCAGAAATTCAAGGATTGGACTGGCTGAGGTGCAGTGTGATTTGGCGGGACAGAGATTTGGTCTCACTGTATAGCTCCATCGCTTCGATTGTCTTAGCCTTACGCACTATAAGAGCAACCTGCATGAAACGCTTTAATTGTAACTGTCTCATTTCGCTCCAATAATTTTATACTAGGGGTAAATTTTTTTTCATGTGCCATAACATTTTGGACCCAACACTATGTAGCGGTTAGTACGGTTCATAATTTCTTCTCAGGCGTCGACGGTTTTCAATTGGACCATGTAGATTTATTGTGTAGCTGAGGACCATGGTATTTACAATGGTCCCTCGGTAGTGTTGTCGTCTTACTATCATGGCTCAATCATGATGGTTACTTGTTAGATGCATGGACCATTTTGATTGGAGGATGAGAGTAGAGTATATATAGATAGTATGATAAGCATTGTTTTTGTTGCACAAACTTGTTTTTGCCAATAATGTGCAATGGAAGGTTTAATTTTTGTGAATTTCGGATGTAATGGGAAAATGTAATGTTTTCCTATATTTGTGTAATTATATTTTTATACGGTTAATATTTGCATCTCACATGTGGGTCAATACATATGTCACATTTCTTGAGAATAATTTATTTGGACTTTTCAAATTTTATAATCGAAATTGTTTAACTTTTCAATCATCATTTGAAGGTTATTTTATAAATAAATAAAAAAATCATTCGAATAAGAGATTGTTTAGTTATCTGAATCTTAAAATAAATTGACGATATAAGGAATGAACATATCTCAGGTGTTGCGAATAACATATCTTCGCCTTATAAATTTCATAATCAAAACTATTCAATTTTATAAATCTTCATTTCAGCATCATCCTACAAAAACTTATTCGAATTGAAAGTTGTTTATACCTTAAATGTGTGAACCAAATTGACGGTATAAATAATTGCAGTTCAGAGAAACTGGCTCATAAGTGAAGGAAATTTGACAATGAATGCGAGTTCATTGTTAAACTTCTTTCTCTTGTGGATCGGTTTCTCTCTCTTGCAATTACTTCTTGTTGATTTTTCCAGGTTCAGCTTGACCAGATCAGGTTTCCCATCTGAACCATCATTAAGTTCACTTGACTTCTTAGACATGGTGCGGTGCTTGGGTTTGGTGGGTTGTAGTTGTTTGATTCTGCCAATTTTTATTTATTTATTATTTTAATTAATTTTTGAAATTTAACTATGTTAGATTTTCGACCTTTTCTTTTGTTTTTTTTTTCCCAAACCTTTTCTTTTGTTAAATTAGGTGTTAAATACTTGCATGTGTCCAATATTAGAGGTGACAAATATCGAGTTGGTTACGGAAGATTCAAAGCCAAAATTTCACATTTTTAAATTTTTGCATTGTCACATGTGTTAGAAGGTAAGATTATTTCAGTTACCATGCCACGTGCTTATAATTTTTGCAAAGATTGTCTAGAGGGTGCCTTTTCTGGAAAACGAGAGAGAGGACATACGAGGGCGGAAAAACATTGCGAGAACATAAGAACGTCAAGAAATGCGTGTCCTCTCGAAATGATATAGCTGATCGCATGTGTAGAAAAACATTCACCATGAAGATGGAGCTGATTGGTGAATTCGTTCTTTCTCGAGTTAGATTAGTTTAATTTTGTTGTAGTTGTTTATGTCATTTTAGTGGGTGATGTGATCTCGCATTTTGGTGACAGACTTTGTGTGTTTCTTGGTATTGATCTGTCGTGTCCGCAGTTATTGCAGTTATTATGGCACATATGTACCAATAGTTCCCAATGGTTCTTGTTCGTGTGGTGGCCATGTAAGAGTTTTACTTTCTTTGTATGTTTGAGCAAATTATCTCCGGATCAAATTATTGGCCATTTGAGAATACATCAATTGACACCTCCTTATAATTGTGTTGACTGATTAATGAAATCTCACTATCGTTTCTTGTCAAAAGAAAATCACACTAGCAGACAATATATATATGGTGCATTTGAACAACATGGACCATATTGATGTGGATAGACAAACATGGAGACCATCATTGATTGATTTAAATGTAAGTAACCATTTGTGATAAAAACTAAAAAATAAAATAAAAGATAAAACAAAATAACGTTAGAGCAATCCAAGGGAACCTGAATTCACTCTAACAAAGAAGAACAACTTACATGAAACATGTTAGGCGCCATGTGGCATCCCAACCCAATGATGCATATATAGAAACAATGACAAAGTTTTGAAAAATAAAAAATAAAACTCTAGGATACCAATAAACAAACAATAAAGGGTCACTAAACTGTGAATTATATACAGTAGTGCTCGTTTAGTGTTCTAGTTCTACTCTTCATTAAAAGTTTGTGACTGCTTCTGCTTAATATTAACTTAATCGTTTCTCTGTTTGTTGCATTGCTCAGACAAAGTGACACAAGGCTTTGTCAAACAAAGAGCATTTTGACTGTGAATTATAATACTCACCACAATGTCACAGTCCATTGGTACCCAGTTCTTGTCTTGTGAACTTGGCTTTGGTTTTTTTGTATAATATTTTTTTCAAAACTTCAAATATTAATGCTTAAAAATTTTGGAGAACAATAATGGCCAAGGTATACTTCGCAAATATGTCTGGAGGAAAAGGAAACTAAGTAAAGGTCGTAGATGTTGACTTGTATTAGGATTCCTACAATTGTGGGATTCCTACCATATTTGGTTTCCTAGTTTAGGATGTAATTATTCTTTCCTTTATTATGATAGGATTGTATATGATTGTATATACACCCTTGAATGAGATGAATACAATATCATTGAAAAGCATTCTTTCTTCTTGGCACTAGAGCCGAGTTAGAAAAAAAAAAAAGGAAAACATTGAACCCTAACTGGGTTTGTATTTGTCGTGTCCCTGATCAATTGCAACGAGCAACTTAGAGTTGTTGCTGCCCGTGTCTCTGATCAATTGCAATGAGCAACTGAGAGTTGTTGCTACCCCGTTCTGTCAGTCCGTCCGCACAGTTCTAGATTCCCACCACAACACTGCCTTGTCAGTCTGTTACTGTGTTCCAAATTCCCATCACAGCGCTGCATGTTTTAGGTTATACCAACAACAAGATTGATGGCTGAAGAAAAAGGGGCCGATTCTAGGATTGTTCTAGTGGCTGCTCCAATTATGGTGCAGTCAGAGAATTCAAGCTTTAATATTGGTATGGTATTGGATGGGAAGAACTATGATTTATGGGCTCCTCTCATTCAAATCCATATTGGTGGAAGGAAGAAGATGGGATATCTTCGTGGGGTCCGGGTTTACTAGAACATAAATATGATGATTGGTTCTCTGAAGATCAAAAAATTCAGAGTTGGCTTATGTCGTCAATGAAGCCAGAGATTATGAAACAGTACATTCGGTTGTCTACTTCAAAGGAAATTTGGGAGTCTCTTAAGGCAGCCTACTTTGATGAGAATGACGAGGCTAGAATTTATTCGTTGAATCAGAAGGCATCATGTCTTCGTCAGAATGGCCGACCGTTGGCTACCTATTTCGGGGAGCTAACTGAGATTTTCCAAGAATTGGATCACTTTAATAAAGTATCCATGGAGTGCAAAAACAACATCAAAGTGTTTCACAAATCCACTGAGAGACAACGAGTCTATGTGTTTCTTGGTGGTCTCGATGATATGTTTGATCAGGTTCGTGGAAAAGTGTTGCGGAAAGATTCCCCGCTTGGGCTTCAGGCTTCTTATGCATATGTTCGTCGAGAAGCTGATCGGAAGGAAGCAATGAAGACGAAAGTTGACAAAAGTGAATCAGCTGCCATGGCAGCAAAGGCCCGTGAATCATCCTCTTAGTCGAACCGAGACGGGTCACAAAACCGACCAGGACCAACTCGTCTTTGCCAAACAAGCCGGGATCGTCCCCAAGGTAAGTGCCTACACTGTGGCATGACAGGACATTCCAAGAGTCGTTGTTTTGATCTAATTAGATATCCCGAGAATTGGATAAGACTCATGATCCTCGGTGCAACAAATCTCAAGCTTCCATTGCAGAAACCAAGAGTGATTTCGACCAGATAGCGGACAAGGCATCTGCCATAATTGCTGTGGTAGGTAGTGATGGTAAGGCACTAACCACCTCTACTTCTGTTACAAATAATACACGGATAATTGATTCTAGAGCTATTGAACATATGGCTTGTGATTCTAGACAGGTTCCATCATTAAAAACCTCCACACAAACCGTAGTCAACATCGCTAATGGTAATGTCATCCCTGTTATTGGGGAAGACACTATTTCCCTTTCTAATACCATGAAACTTGACACTGTTCTTGTGGTTCCCTCTCTAAATTATAATTTGTTATATGTTGCCCAAATAACCCTTGCCTTACATTGTTGGTTATTTTTTTGGCCCTATTTTTGTGTTTTTAACGACACCCGGACACGGAAGACGATTGGTTATGGTATTAAACGAGGGAAACTTAATTTATTACTTGGAGTTGACAACCAAAAGTTCTGGCTTGCTGACTCAAGCTCTTTTCGTTGATGATTCTCAAGGCGATAATAATAAAGTGTTAGACATTTGGATGTGGCGCTGACACCTTGGACATGCTTGTTTTGGTTATCTGCATAAGTTATTTCCTAGTTTGTTTGTCAAGAATGATGTTTCTCAGTTTAAATGTGATGTTTGTGAAATGGCTAAGAGCCATCGAACTCCCTTTCCTCCCAGTTTAAATAAACGTTCTGTTCCTTGTGCATTATGATGTATAGGGTCCGTCGAAAATAGCTACTCTTGGTGGTGCTCACTGGTTTGTCACTTTTATTGACGATTGTACAAGAATGACTTGGGTTAGTTTGTTAAAGTAAAAAGCGAAGTTAGTTTGGCTTTTCAAAAGTTCCATAAAATGGTTGTTGTGCAGTACAACATGAATATCCAGGTTCTTAGAAGTGACAATAGGGGCGAATATGTTAATATGGAACTTCGTTCCTTCTTTGAACTGCATGGTATTGTTCATCAAACCACGTGTCCACATACTCCTTAACAGAATGGGGTTGTCGAACGCAAAAATAGACACTTGTTAGAGATGGTTCATGCTTCGCTCATTGACGCACATCTGCCTCTACATTATTGGGGTGAAGCAATTACGTCCGCGGCCTATCTTATTAATCATCTTCCTTCTCGTACTATCAAATTCCATAAGCCATTTCAGGCTCTCATGTCTCAGACGAGCTGTCCACCGACTCCAAATCTTCCCCCCTGGGTCTTAGGGTGTGTTGCTTTTGTTCACCTTCATCTTCCTCAACGAAACAATAAACTTGAGCCTCGAGCCTTCCGTTGTGTGTTTTTGGGTTATGCCACTACTTAGAAAGGATATCGTTGTTATCATCCTCTGAGCAAGAAAATGTTTATCAATCAGGATGTGATTTTCCATAAGAAGGACATGGTTTTTGGATCCTCTGAGTCATCACTTCAGAGGGAGTACCGAGATAATGACGTTCTGACCCTTGATTACTTTCCCATGGTTAGCAATGAGCTGCATGAAGAGCATCAATTGCAGCCTTCATATTTGGAGCCCATGGCACATGAAGAGCAACAGCGCACAATTGTAGGTGATCAGCAGGATACCGAACAACAACCAACAAATTAGGATATTGTCCAACCCACGGGTTCCACGGGTGTTGGGCTTGAAAGGTATATGCAGGACCAGCCCTCAGGTTATACGGGTTTTGGGCTGGAAAGTGAGCTGCAACCCACTGTTTTCGATGGAATTGAGCCGCAACAGCCCACTAGTGTCAATAGAACCGAGCAGCAACTATCACAGAATCTTTCTCTATATGTTATATCAGGTCAATGTATGAACTGGTCTTCTATAATTCTCATAACCAATCATCTTCTACATCAGATGCACCTCTACTTAGCCGCCTTCCAAAGCGTATTAGCCGAGGTATTCCCAAATCCATTTATGAGGCAAATCCTAAGTGTAAACATAAGTATTCCGTGAATGAACCAAATTCGGATTCAAGAGTGAGATATCCATTAAACAATTATGTGTCTACCTGTCACCTGTTAGAATCAAATAAGTCATTTGTATATCAATTATCTACTGTATCTATTCCTAACAATGTACAGGAGGCCTTAGCAGATTCTCGCTGGAAAGATGCAATGAACGAGGAATTGAAATCGTTAAAGAAGAGTGCTACCTGGGAAATTACTGACTTACCAGCTTCTATGGGAGCAAATGGGTCTATACAGTGAAATACAAAGCAGATGGAATGGTGGATCGCTTTAAAGCAAGATTGGTGGCAAAAGGATATACATATAAATATGGCATCGACTACACCGATACGTTCACACCAATGGCAAAGATCAATACAATTCGTGTTCTACTATCCATCGCAGCAAACCTAAATTGGCCTTTGCAACAGTTCAACATAAAAAATGCATTCCTCCATGGAGATCTAACCGAGGAGATTTACATGGACTTTTCCACCAGGGTGAAATGATCCGGACATATGGAAACAAAAGGTATGTAAATCATTGTATGGGTTGAAGCAGTCTCCAAGAGGTTGGTTTGGTGGATTTACCAAGTCCATGAGAGCATTCGGTTATAGGCAAAGTAATTAGGATCACACGTTATTCTTGAAATGCCAGAACGGAAAGGTTACAACTTTCATTGTATATGTGGATGACATCATAGTGACCGGTAACGACCCTGGTGAATAAGCAGCCTTGAAAAAGTATTTTTCTGCCTAAATGAAAGATATGGGTTCTTTAAAATATTTCCTTGGGATTGAAGTGTCAAGATGCAAGTCTGGGATATTTCTATCACAAAGGAAGTATGTTTTTGACCTGTTAGAAGAAACCGGTATGTCGGCATGTAAGCCGATATCTACTCCATTAGCAGAAGGAATGAAGTTGGGTATCAATCAGAACCAAGTACCGGTTGATAAGGGGAGGTACCAAAGGTTAGTAGGAAGATTAATGTACTTGGTCCATACTAGGCCAGATCTTGCTCATGCATTAAGTGTAGTTAGTTAATATATGCATAATCTAGGAGAACAACACATGAGTGCCGTTATGAGAATATTGAGTTACTTGAAAGGAAGCCCTGGTAAAGGAATTTTGTTTCGGCAAAATGGGCATTTCAGAATTGAGTGCTATATAGATGCTGACTAGGCAAGATCGACGGATGATAGGCGCTCGACATCGAAGTATTTCACCTTTGTTGGGGGAAATTTAGTAACGTGGAGAAGCAAGAAGCAAAATGTCGTAGCAAGGTCAAGTGTGGAAGCTGAATTTAGAGGTATGGCACTTGGTATTTATGAAATCTTATGGCTTAAGTTTCTGTTAGAAGACTTGGGGGTCAAACATGGTCAGTCGATGAAGTTATTGTGTGACAATAAAGCTGCTCGTGATATCACTCATAATCCAGTGCAACATGATCGAACCAAGCATGTAAAGGTTGACAGGTTCTTTATTAAAGAGAAGTTGGAAAGCAAAGTAATCGAGGTTCCTCCCAAAGAAATTGAAGACCAAGTAGCAGATATTCTCACTAAGCCGGTTTCTAGGGACAAGTTCTCGAGGTTTCTAGACAAGTTGGGCATGTGTAACATCTATGCACCAACTTGAGGGGGAGTGTTGACTTGCATTAGGATTCCTACAATTGTGGGATTCCTACAATATTTGGTTTTCTAGTTTAGGATGTAATTATTCTTTCCTTTATTATGATAGGATTGTATATGATTGTATATATACCTTTGAATGATATGAATACAATATCATTGAAAAACATTCTTTCTTTGGAAGATAAGTGGTTTTCGCACTTATTTTATTCCTTTGCAATTTGTTTTTCTTTAGCTCTTGGATTAAATAAATCCAAAATAAAATTTAAGAGATAAAAATAAAGGAGTGTAAAAAGAGAAAACATAAGTGCAAAAATTATTTTCCAAAACTGAATTTCGCACACAGATTTAATCCAAGTTTATTTTCAAAACTCATTCTAGAGCCGTCCACTTTATGTATAAAAAAAAATCCAAGACTAAGTTTGTTTGTGCACAATTACAAACAAGTCAAATTTGATCTAGTTTGCCGAAGGTTTGGTTCTCATTGATGAAAAATAAAAAATAAAAAATAAAAAAATAAAAAAAATAAAAAGAAAGCTAGTTTTAAAGGGCCAAGATGAAGAGGAAGATGGTTCTAACTCTCCATTGTCAGATGTGTTCAAACATGGAATCGATAATTTACCAAAGATACATTAAAGAACGATAATAATTTTTCCATTATTTTTCAATTTTATGGATTAGTATCATTATAAGAATCTTTCAAAGTACTAATTTCAGGCGTCAAATTTTTTTATACCCAATTTCATTGTTTGTTTGTCGAGGTTTGAGTTTGGCTCCTCTAGGGCTTGTCAGGTTGTCGCTGTTTGATTTTTCCAGATTTCTTCTTTTTCTTTTTTTTTTTTTATATTTTTTCGGAAACTTAACTTTGTTAGATTAGGTAGGTGTTAATGTACACGCAAAGGAATCCAAACACTAATTTCATACCTATATTTCAGTTTATGCCATATTTTCATTAAACACTATTAACAAAACTAACTTCAGGACGTGGAGAAATGGTGATCACACTGAAGAGAGAGGAGCTCAGAAATTGTGTATGAAACAGACACCGCGTTATTTTCTGCACCCCAATTTTTTCCCAGATGATGAACTTGAGATGGTAGCTTTCGATCCAAATGATGAGGATAGTTTGTATCTTATGAGTTAATTATGACGGAGACATTGTCATGTGGAATATCAGTAGGGGATCGTGGTCAAGGTTGTTGGAGCAATATTAGAAAATATGAAAAACATCTCATTTTCAAGTTTTCAAGTTTTAATAGATCAATTCCATGTGGAAAACATCTCATTAATTTCTTTGGGAAAAAAAAAAAAGAAACATGTCACTAATTTCTTGTAAGCAGAGCTGAAATCCAAAAAATGAGGAGGATAAGGACGTGATATGTGGCTCCACTGTGGTTAATCTCATTGGCCTCGTACATCCATGACTTTTCTTGGTTGCGGATCATTTTTCAAGTTTCTAGTAATGGAGGCCTTCCTCTTAATATTTATTTTTTTCACGAGTGAACGATTGAGATTTATCTAAATGAATCATTCTTTTTTGTTCTTTCATGCAAATGAGAGCAAAATACATGGAATGATATGTCAGCGAGCTCACTTTAATTTTCAAACATGGGCTACGAAATCTAAGAACTAATCTTGCTTCACTACATTGTATCTCACCAACCTAATGTCAGTTGTCTTTCATTGCTGATGTTCTAGTAAACCCGGACCCTACTGGCATTAACCTGAATTCACCCAGAGTTAGGTTGGATTCATTTTTTTTTTCGGCTCAATGAAACCGAAGTCCAGATCCAGTTCTGAATTGTAAATGACTGTTAGGATTGAATTTACTATCGAACCCACCCGAGTTGCAACCCTACTAGCTAGAGAGTAGAAGGTGATTTTGTCACATTATTTTTAGTTTCTCATTGACCCGTCATTATTTATGGTCATCGGATTGAATAAATCAAATAAAAACAATGAAAATGATCAAACATGGATACGAGAGAGCCTAGATATGGTATATAATTATTGTTTCCCCAAAACAAATTTACCCATTTAAAGTTTTGTTGCAAACATTGAGTGCACACAAATCACATTATCCTATCACAAGTTGGTCACGTAACCAATTATTGTGAAAAGAGCGTTCTACTTTCATTTCTATTTTTTTTATTTTTTTTATTTTTTATATACAAGCGATATTTGAAGAGGGATGAATCCATGTCAAGGGAAACTGCTCTTAATCAATTGATATTTAGTTTCCTGTGGATGATTAATTTCAATTGTTGGCTTGGTGGCAAAACCAGATGTGAATTTTCTGAAAGGAGACTTTGAAAGGATTAATATTATAATACAAAACCATTAACATCAAAGCTGTTAGGATTGTAAGGATAAATATATAACAAACGACAGCCAACAAGATGGTGTTAACACCTTCCTTTTTTCTTTACTAGTAAGCATCAACGGTAGGAGGTTGAAGTCTACCAAGCAACCATGCAATTGAAGCCCCATATTTTCTCAGATCAATCTGTTATTTTGTCTTCTACCAAAAACGACAGTCATTGCTATTTGCTTTCATCTTAATTTGACATAAATACCCACGTAAGTGGCATGTATCTGTTAAATTAAGATTGTAAAGTGAAAGGGGCATTACAGGAACACCATGTGACACTGTTAGGGAGATATTAATCAATTATTATAACCATAATTATCAGGCTTTAGCAGCACTCTAAAGTAAAACTTGACCAGCAGCTCTATCCACTCAAGTCTGGTCTGATTTTGAACATGAAATTTGTTGCTGAAGGCAACTGCAACCAAATGTCACTGACTTTTATTAATTAAAAAACCCTATAAAATGCTTGATTATCTTAATCTTTCTTGCATCAGCATTTGAAAACAATTCAGCAGATTGAGTGACCAGTGAGATCAGAGAGATGGGTTTTAGTCTTCCTTCATCAACAGCCTTCTCAATGGCCATCTTCTTTGTAGTTTGTGCATTTTTGTGCATGTTTCCTGAGCCTGCATTTGCAAAACATGCTAGGTTTACTAGGCATTACAAGTTCGATGTATGTAATTACGCGTACTTTATTTATAATATTACATGTATAAATTGAACCGGTGTCAAAGTTTTAATTAGAAAAGAACTAGAGGAACGTTAAATAGATAATAAATGATCACTATACCATGAATTATATACGGCTTATGACATGTTTAGTGCCCCCCAAATTTAATTTTTTGTTGAAAATGCGTTCTATCTTTTGTATATTACTCTTTAAAAAATATTGTCCATGTTTATTGCATTGCACAGATCAAGTTACAAAATGTGACAAGGCTTTGTCAAACCAAGAGCATTGTAACTGTCAACGGGCAGTTTCCGGGGCCTCGGATCATCGCAAGGGAAGGTGACAGGCTTGTGATCAAGGTGGTCAACCATGTTCAGCACAATCTCACCCTCCATTGGTACAATTCTTCTACTTAGCTTTGGTTGTTTGGATAATGTTTTTTAAACTTCAAACTTTAATGCTTATTTGGAGAAATTTGCAGGCATGGAGTCAGGCAAATGAAGAGTGGATGGGCAGATGGACCTGCTTATATCACACAGTGCCCAATTCAGATAGGGCAGAGTTATATCTATAACTTCACCATTACTGGTCAAAGAGGCACATTGTTTTGGCATGCCCACATCTCCTGGCTTAGGGCAACTGTATATGGACCTATTGTCATCCTCCCTAAAAGACACGTGCCTTATCCTTTCCCCCAACCTTTCAAAGAAGTTCCCATCATTTTCGGTAATTCACCATGATTATAATATTTTCTTCAAATTCTCGGGCTATGGAACATACGTTAGTTTTGCATATATTTATGTTAGTAATTATTGATGTTATGGATAATGTGTCGATATCGTTGTTGACAGCAAAACATATTGACATGTTATCGATAAATTTTTAACAATATCGATGTGTGCCCATTCTTCTTTAATGCCATGCACAAAGAATTTCTAAACAGTGAAATTTATATTGAATTGCAGGAGAATGGTGGAAAGCAGACACAGAAACAGTCATCAGTCAAGCCTTACAAACAGGGTTGGGACCAAATGTTTCTGATGCCTATACCATCAATGGTCTTCCAGGTCCTTTATACAACTGCTCAGCAAAAGGTATTGGCTAATAAGTAATCAACATTTCCTAGTTCAAAGTTAGAGCATTTGTTTTATGTATTGTAAATAAACAATGTTTAATATATTTGAACTAGATACATACAAGCTCAAGGTGAAGCCGGGGAAGACATATCTGCTGCGGTTGATTAATGCTGCGCTCAACGACGAGCTCTTCTTCAGCATTGCCAATCACACCCTCACTGTGGTCGAAGCAGATGCAGTTTATGTGAAGCCTTTCAAAACCCAAACAGTTTTAATCACACCAGGACAGACCACAAATGTGCTTCTGAGGACCAAATTTAAGTCCCCAAATGCCAAATTTGTCATGGCAGCTCGGCCTTATGTGTCCGGCCCAGCTGCTTTTGACAACTCCACAACCACAGGATTACTGGAATACGAAGTTGCTTCTTCCTCAACTAACAACAAGAACAAGAAAAAGCAGCTTTTCACACCAGTCCTTCCAAAGCTCAATGACACATTGTTTTCCATGAAATACAACAAGAAAATTCTCAGCCTGGCCAATCCCAAATTCCCGGCGGCAAATGTTCCGAAAACTGTTCAAAAGCACTTCTTCTTCACTGTAGGGCTTGGAGTTCTCCCATGCTCAAAAAATCAGACATGCCAAGGACCAAATAATACTAGGTTAGCAGCAGCCATTAACAACGTGACATTTGTCCAACCCAATACAGCTCTTCTGCAAGCTCATTTCTTCAACCAATCAAAAGGTGTGTACACCACAGATTTCCCTGCAAACCCAGCATTCAAGTTCAACTACACAGGCAGTCCACCCAGCAACATTGCCGTGAGCAGTGGAACTAAGGTGGTGGTGCTGCCTTTCAACACTACTGTGGAGGTTGTTTTGCAGGACACTAGCATTATTGGGGCGGAGAGCCACCCACTTCACCTCCATGGGTTTAATTTCTTTGTTCTGGGTTTGGGTTCTGGGAACTTTGATCCCAAAAATGACCCTAAAAAGTACAACCTTGTAGACCCTGCTGAGAGGAACACTGTTGGTGTGCCTTCTGGTGGCTGGGTTGCCATTCGATTCCTCGCCGATAATCCAGGTAAACAGTAAATCCTCGTTAATATAAATTTGACACAATATCATCATAGCCCACACTTTTCTTAGGATTTTTTTCTTCTTTATTTGTTGACAAGGTTAATCAAGTTGGTCACTTGATTCATAAAGGTTTAACATTTGTTATCAAATATCTTTAGTCTTGGTGAGAAATTTGGAATGGAATTAGGGTTAGCAATCTGATTTGTTTCTTCTCTTGTACATGGTGATATGCAAAATAGGTGTTTGGTTCATGCATTGCCACCTAGAAGTGCACACCAGCTGGGGCTTGAAGATGGCTTGGGTGGTCTTGGATGGAAAGAGACGCAACCAAAAGCTTCCTCCTCCACCGTCCGATCTTCCCAAGTGTTAGTTTCACGCTTTGCTCATAGATTTCTTGTGCTTCCATTTCATTCTTTTTGTCCAGTTGCTCCCCAGAAAAAGGGGATTCGTGGAAAAGGGTTATGGTTTAGTAGTAGTATCCCTTCCTGTGAAAGATTTGGGTTAGGTTTTTGACTTGTAAGGCCATTCAATTATTGTAATATCGAAATGTAATAGAATATCTCCTTTTACTTTTTAAGCAGTATTTGTCTCAATCATGAACTCTGGAACGCTTTCCAGCTCAAGTTTATACTTCATTCATGCGTCTCCTACAAATATTATTTAATTAATGAATTGTTAGTTGTTAGGGAGAAGGAAAATGAATGCGGATCGAATCCACATAAGATGCATAGGCATAATTACTTTTTGCTACTGCGATAAAACGTCATTTGTGTTTTGATTTTGTTTATTGTGTATCAACTTTTTTGTACAAACATTAGTACCATGCAAGATGAAGTTACTATTGAAAAGTTTATTTAGTTTAACAGTCATACTGCCACTTGTTTTTATTATTTTACAAACATAAGCAGGTTTTTCTTATTAGCTCCTCACTTAGTATTTGGTATGGCTTAGTGAAGTTTTGTAAAACCTTAGATTGTTGGTTGGGTAATAGTCTATAATTGTTGCTTAATTACCCAATTTGTGGTTTGGTAATGGTTTCCTTGTTTGTTAGTGTGGCCCCTTTTGTGTTTGTTTGTTTGTTTAACAAAGCATTTATTTACCTAAAAATAGAAAAACAATTGATCAATGATCCAATAATATATTAAACACGGACTTATATGTAAGAAATATAAAATATGAAGGGTAATACCTTAAATCAGAAACGACCGGCACCATCTTTGATTTTGCAAACTCGGTCACCGACTCACCAACCTCCAAATCCTCGCATTCTGCCAGCTGAAAACGACACCCAATCCCCGGGAGACGCCGTCGTTTTGACGCCGGTGCCTCCTCCAGGCCCTCCTCCACCGCCGGAGAATATTCCAGACACAATGACGCGAAGCCTCGGCTTCTCCCTGCCCGTAACCGTCGTCGTTTTGGCAATCGCATACATTTACTTCTCCACGGTCTTCATTTTCATAGACCGTTGGTTCGGTCTCATGTCGTCGCCGGGCTTGATGAACGCCGTCGTTTTCACCGGCGTCGCCGTCATGTGCGTCTTCAATTACTCGGCTTCCGTCTTCAGGGATCCGGGTCGGGTTCCCTCCACGTACATGCCCGACGTTGAAGATTCGGGTAACCCTATGCACGAGATCAAGCGCAAGGTATCGAATTCGTGCTGTTTTCTATCTCAAAGCTGTCTCGTTTAATGTAGAATCGATTTCTCTTGCTCATTTCAATAATTTCTGTAAAATTGGAATTTTATGATTTTTTTTTTTGTTGTCAAACAATATATTTTGTTAGATTAGATGTTAGATTAGCCACCGATTGGTGAAGCCAATTTTCTTGCATATATTTTGAAATTGTAAATTGATTTTGATTAAATATGTTAATAATATGTTTTGGAAAATTAGAGGGCTTTATTTCTTTGGCCGGAAAATCGAAAGCAGGATGCTTTAGTTTGGATTAACTTGTTAGACATTGTAGAAACTAGGGAGGAGATAATGATATAAGAGCTTGTAGGAGGTGCATTGGTGCTTAATTTAGCTGAGCTGATTTCGAGTTGTCGGGGAATTAGAAAAATAACATCTTTGTAGTATGCAATTCGTGTAACGTCATCGAGTCACTTTGATCCTGATTTAGTAAAACTTTGTAACACTTGCTTACATAGTTTTGTTTTTGCAAAAGAATCATAACAATTAGGATGGATTTAAAAGGAAAGATATAATTTTGATATACAGTGAATGAACCGTTGTTCCTGAAACAGTAAAAATGTTTGATCTTTTAAACTTGAAATGAAGCTGCCCAATACGCCAAGGAACTTGTAGATAATGAGCAAGTAGATAACTTGGCGCGTACGCTCCTTGCTTTGAGTCACCCTTTGTGTTTTGCAGTAAATCGATGTCATGGTTTCTATTGTCATTGCAATTATACAGAAGTGTCATTAATTATAATGCCTTTCCATATATTAGTGAAAGCTGTGCTTTTAATAATTGCTAAGCTGAGATGGACATGTGGTTCCAACTTCCAATACTTGTTGTTTCTACTATCTTTGAATGGCATTGTCTTACCTCAGTTTTTATTTTCAAAAAGGAAAGCTCAGAAACAAGATTACGATTGCATGTCGTGATCTCAGGTCTCCTATATCAATCTACAATGTTAAGTAAGCCGGAACCAGAACCAATCCAATAGGGTTTGCTTGCCCCTTTTCATCTACCATTCCTCTTGTATCATAATGTTCAGTAGCCCTCACAACTAAACAATGTTCTCACATGATTGAGTGGGGCCAACTCGTGTTTGTCGGTATGCCCCAATGCTGATACTTGCAGGCTATGATCTTTGTGTACTGCACCGAAATCAATGGCAAATCTACATTTGGAAAACTAACCGCCTCTCTAAATCTAGACCTCCCAGATTTTGTTATTCAAACTTAGCGGCATCACCTAATCAGTCAATTTTTGCAGAAAATGCCAACTTTCCTTTACTTACATGTTTCCCAGTATGCTCGAGCACGGATACTCATGGGGTGTGATCTTCGTATAGATGTGCATGCATCAAATGGAAAATCTATATCTGGAAACCCTAACCGATTTATCCACAAAGGTTCATTTTTTAATTTTAACCTCGCAGTTTGTTGCATAAAATGCCAATTCTCATAGGTAGAAATAGCTTTACCGGACGTCAAGATGTTTGGTGTGATCTCCCTATTGGGTGAACGAAACGTCCAAACTTAATTGTTATTTTATTCTGGATAGTATGCTGTTTTAAAGCTAGAGCATTGTTATGTTGCCACATGTACTTGTGCCTGATTGTATTCTTACGATCAGTAATTCTTAGGCCTTAGCTAAGATGACACAGGATGGGGTGAGTTGAGGAGGAGGTAGGCCCTGGGTTAATATCTTTCTTTTGTGAAAGGCTTTTCACATACAAGCTCTTGATAAGATTATACTTTAGAGAAAAAGACCTAAAACTTGTTATAATTCTGACTCCCTCTGGATCTTGCTCTTTGATGTATCTGGCAATAGGACATTAACTTTGACAAGCCAAAATCGTAACAAAACCTAATATTTTAGAAACACCCTTCTTGCCTTGCAATGAAAGAAGGGCACCACAATTAAGAATCAATTAGAACATGATAAGTGGATAGTTGAGTTTTATTCCCCCTGACATTGAGCTTTTGAAGTGTTTCTAAAACAATATTATTAAATGTTTTAATAAGAATTTACTGTTCTTGCATTTCACTCCTTTAGATTTTTAAGTTACGTTCTGTATCATGTGGAAAGAAACTGGGAATGTTAGTATATTGCCTTCTTTCTATTTTGTTTGATAAAGGTTTCATCTGAATCGGCTATCCGAAGTTATTTTTAATATTGTTATTTAAAAAAGAGAAATAAACGTAGAAGCAATGGCTCTTTACTTGGAGCAGGCTGCCGGATATATTATAGAAAGTGGGAGTCTTTGTGTTTTAGATAATTGTTGGGTGAATGATTTTGCAGGGAGGGGATTTAAGATATTGCCAAAAGTGTTCTCACTATAAGCCAGCTCGTGCACATCATTGTCGTGTATGCAAAAGATGTGTTTTGCGCATGGTATGCTTTATCCATCTTATTCTTTGATGCCTTGTATTTCCTGGATAATGTGTTAACGTGCTGCCTCTTGGTTGTAAAGGATCATCATTGCATATGGATTAATAACTGCGTTGGCCATGCAAACTATAAGGTCTTTTTCATCTTTGTTGTGTATGCTGTAATAGCATGCCTCTATTCCCTGGTAAGTTATTAAGTTACTAAACCCAACTGGACATTGGCATTTTTTTCCTGACTGCTGTAATTGCATGCATCGACCGCTGGGAATTTGTTTTCCTTTCTTCATGTAGAAAATATGCCTGTTTCCTTTTGATCATACATTAGTTTTGTAGCCATAGAAGGTGACTCTCTTTGTAGTGAAAAGATGGTGAATGCTTAAGATATAATTTTCTTTCTTTTCTTTTATTTATTTCATCCTGTTTAACATTGGATCTGCGGTTAAACTTTCAGGTTTTGCTTGTGGGTAGCCTAACTTATGATCCCGAAAAAGAAGACCAGGAACCTGGAGACTCTTTTCAAACTGCATATGTAAGGTTAAGTGTTGGGTTTATGTTTGATACTTGGATACAAGACAGCTTGCTTATCATTTTTCTCTTTTCAAGTTTCAGGTCATTTCTGGGCTGTTGCTAGTTCCCTTATGTGTGGCGCTGAGTGTTCTTTTAGGTTGGCATATCTACCTCACTTTGCAAAACAAGACCACAATTGAGGTTATTAGGAATTAACAAATTGTATATTATTGTTCTTTTTTTGGCGGCAAATCTGATTTAGATATCTGGACTGCTATTTCATAGCACTTCTTTTTCCTTCTTTCTGGCAGTACCATGAAGGAGTGAGAGGTATGTGGCTTGCAGAGAAAGGAGGGCAAATATATTCCCATCCATATGATCGTGGTGCCTATGAAAATTTGACAACGGTATTTTCCCTCCCACTTTTATTTGGTGGTTAAAACTATGTAAACTCTTCATTAATGTTGTTTTTGCGGTTTAAAGTTTTAGTTTCTCTAGTGGCAACTCGGATTGTATTTAGCCTATATTGCTTCTCTGCTCTGTTCAACCTAACAGCTAGAAACTAGAATGATTGTTTTGGTGCAATCTGAATCTACTTTTCAGTCTTATGGTAGATTGTGTTTTTTACTTTATTTTACAAATCCATTACATCAAGTCATATTTGACTGCTGTAGGTATTGGGATCAAATATCTGCAGTTGGGCACTCCCCACATCGGGACATATTGGATCCGGACTTCACTTTCGTACAGCCTATGATTACCCTTCTGGAGCATCAATGTCAGAATGAATTTTTCCCGGGTTCATGATCTTGATTTTCATTCCCACAAGACTTACCAGTGTGGTCGGGTTGGACAGACCTGTCTTGTGATGATGTCTGGCAGTCCTTTTCCAGTGTCCCCCTACGAGTCGCTCCAAAAGAAGCAAAAGGACTTTTCCTTGTCTCCTACTAATGGAATTCATTGTCTAGGAGTTCCTGAAACTGTTTCAACGAAACGATTTTAGGGGAAACAATTGATTATAGGGTCCTTGTCAATAGCCGAAACTAATCGGTCTCTGAGAAACTAGGCGCAGGATGTGAGTTTGTGTTTTCGCTTGTCGTCGGGTAGTTACGTTGAACCATAGTTTTACAGTTTTACAGCATGGTCTTCAGTTGATAGGGTTTTGTACAGAGAGGAGAATCAGCATCCCAGCTTTTACCAGCCAGGGCACCTTTTGTAGAGACAGCGGGGTGTTTGTGAAACTTGGAAGAATTGTAATCCTTTGTAACGTTAAAGAAATAAGAGAAATGGTGGTTCACTTTTTCTTCTTTTACTGAAAATCCTTTGTTCAATTGAAATTGCTAGCATTTTTAATTCCGTACTTGCTTTTTTGGGTTCGTTTGGTGTCTAGATTGGATGGCGATGGATGATCCGCTATAAGTAAGGTATGTTAAAGGAAGAAACGAAGACAATTGTGACCAACTTGGAATGCATACAGTCGATCCCACAAAAATAATTTTATAATTTCCGCCTTTCATAATGATTGAAGTATGGAAGCATGGCAGAGAATGTATACGATCAGACAGATGCGAAGTAAAAGAGAGTCGTTGTGATTTATACGATCAGACAGATGCGAAGTAAAAGAGAGTCGTTGTGAATAAATCAAATAAAAAGGATTGACATTGGCACAATCCTACCTTAAACCAATCACTACAAGCAAAAGGAAGGTATGGGCCTAGGTAGGAATATTCGAATAGATTCAATAGTCAACAGACTTCGTTCAACTCACTGTAAAAGTAAACTCGGGCAATCTGATTGATATGAACCAACTAAGATGAGACTCGGTCTTCATACAAGTCAAACGATATGATAGATTGCTCAGTCAAAACTTATCAATTTTAATCCTCCCAAATGAGAAGATTTAAAGAGATCAGTTTACTTCGCATCTTAATCTTATTCCAATCTTTTAAAATAAGAGACTATTCAACCACACCTTCAATATTACAAGTGATCTATCATATGCTAATCTTCGACACCAAATGAAATTTATACGTAAATATGGTTATCGAAGGGCAAAGTTGTACAACCATATGTACAATTTTTTTTTCATTTTACCCCTCAAGGTAACTCATACCTAGCATCCCACTTTCTTTATTGTTTGTTATAACAGCAGTTCCAACATGGGAAGCCTTTCCCCAGGTAATATACTATGTTATCCACTCAGTGAACAGTAATTGCCCTTAATGAATAGTAATCGTATTTTGCATCTCCATCGTTACACTTCAATAGCTCTGGCAATAGACAATAAAATATTAGTATTTTTTTTATTTATAAAATAATACAAAATAATTTTATTTGTAATTTCGGATAAGATTTTTAATCGTTCTCGTTGCGTCACGCATCATTATCCGAAAAGTTATAAAATAATACAAAATAATTTTATTTGTAATTTCGGATAAGATTTTTAATCGTTCTCGTTGCGCCACGCATCATTATCCGAAAAGTTATAAAATAATACAAAATAATTTTATTTGTAATTTTGGATAAGATTTTTAATCGTTCTAGTTGCGCCACTTGTCATAAAATCCGAAAAGACAATTATTGGTGATGGATTTCCGGTAAGATTTTTAATCGTATTCGTTACGCTACGTGTCATTAACCGAAAATACAATTATTGGTGATGGATTTCTGATAAGATTATTAACCAATCACATCGCGCCACGTGTCATAATCTGTTTACAATCTTTGAGGATAGATTTCTATCAGATTTTTAACGAATGAAGCATGCCACGTGGCATTATCTACAACCTAAAAACAAATAATTATAATGAAAGTAGTTAACAAATAAATAATACAAACAAATAATTATAATGAAAGTAGGTAACAAATAAATAATATAAACAAATAAATAATATATTGTTACCTGATCCGCGTAATTTTCCCCACTTTGAATATTATTACTGGCTTATGCCAAGGCGTCTCTCCACGCACTAAACGTTTGGCTAAGTAATTTCCAACGACTAGACATCGATTCTTTGGTTCTTTTCCCACCCATTTTCTCAAGATAATTGGTATGAATAAGACTCCACATTTCTCGCAACTGCATCTCATTACCCATAAGGGAACTATGAGTAACTTCAACCTAGCTAGTACACAACGCAATATCTTCAAGAAGCGTCTAATTCGTACCTGCATCAGTAGTCATTTTGTTGAAAAAAATTGGATTGAAACATTGAGAGAAAGATAGGAATTTGATTGAAAGTAGTTGAGAAAATATGAAATTGTGGTGTAAGGTATATGATAATGAGAAGGTTATATAAAAGTAAAAACAATTTTTTAAAAAAAAATTCAGATTTTTTTTTCCAATTTTTTACAATTTTTTAAAATTTTTTATTAAACTAATTAATCTCTGCAGTTGGATTTAAAAAAAAAAAATTGAATTTCAACACTCCAAATTATGTCATGTGTCACAACGGTAACTTTTCTTAATTTTAAAACTATTTTTTCTTTTTATTTATTTATAAAACAGAATAATATCAACCGTTGATCTCAGATCCAACAGTTGATTTTAAATAAGATTTTTTTATTTTTATTACCTTTGCAAATCGGACTGTCCAATTTAAAGAGCCGTTGACACCGAACAGACCGTGGGAAGCCATGTGGCTTCCCAACGGTAACCTTGGCAGACTGCGACGTGGGCCCCATACTCTGAAAAGCTGTCGGCTGACGCACCCCCACCCGCGGGTGAGTCGCACGCGCCTGACAAAAAAATATAAAATTGGGCTGACGCTAGGATGATGTTAGCCTTGGCGTCACATTCACTCGGGCTCTCGGGCTAGCAATTCCTCACAAGGCCAGAGCTCGGGCCTCCACTCTCCCTCAAGTTGCCCATGCTGGAGCTTCAAGGCTGGGTTACCTGGCCCTATTTCGTCCCCCGTCCCTCGTCCCCCGAGCACCAGCCTACGCTGGACTTGCTTTGAGGGAAGATTAATTGAATAAGTGAAGGCTGACTTTTATGAGTGCAAATAAAAGCCCCAGTAAAAAAAATATAAATAATTTTGTGTAATTTTTCTTTAATATAATGTTTTTGACGTCGCTGCTTTGGATCTTATTTAACTTAATTTATCTTTGTGATTTTTAGTTTTGCTTTACTTTTAAATTTAACAATTTTAAAAATCGGATAAAAAAAATATGACATAGAAAATAAAAAAATCAAATTTAACAATTTAATTAAAACTAAAACATTTGTAACACTGAGAATGACTGGTAAGCAACCTTTGAAATTTTTTTTATATGGTCGATATTTCATTGGAAATATCAGAAAAAACAGAGAAAAATATGGAGACTTCACCCCTATCGAAGAAACTCTTTTCAGCTAAAATCGACAGATTTCGTTGATATTTCGACGTATATGTTAAATATTGACAAACTGTCATATGACATTCTCTAAAGTTTCATTTTAAATTTTCACATTTTTAAGCAAATTTTCATTATTTCGATCGAAGACAACCAATATCGATATTGATATTTTCACTGATAACGATATTTTAAAGACTGGTGGTAAGTGACATTAAAATGACACTCACTTTTGTGGAGAAAATTTTCAGTGTGCCAGAAACACGATCCAATATATCAGTATCATAATCACTATTCTAAAAATTCCCGCCTAGGCGCTAGGCGGTTGGCCACCACCTCGATTAATGCCTAGACGTTTGAAAATTAAGAAATGACGCCTAGATCTACTGAAGCGCCTGCCTAGACTGCCTAGGCATCCGCCTAACCCGTCCAAACCTGTCTAGGCACCTGCCTAAGTTGCGACTCACTTAAACATAAAATAGATAACTTTCATTTTACATTTTATTTTTTCCAATAAATTGTAAGAGACTTGTTGAAACTTGAATGAACACACATTATATGTTTGTTCCCCATATTTTCATTATGTTCCAATAACTCATTATATATATGCCATTCTATTTTTGCAGTTTATAATGAAATTATAAATATTTTAAGTATAAATAGATACTTATTTATACGGAATATAATAGATTTAGCTAAATCCGCCTAGTCAGCCTAGGCGCCTGCCTAAACCAGCTCACCACTTAACTAGCGCCTAACATATTTTAGAACCTTGGTCATAATACAGTAGTTAGAGATTTTTTTTTTCCAAGTTTTCAACTAATTGTATTGTTACATTTGGTGTGTTGGGCCATGTTTCAAGCACACTGAAAAATCTTTGTTTTTATGTTAGGTGTATGCAGGGTTGTAGCCAGAATTTTCAAATAATGTGGTCATAATATCATCGAAAAAACTTCATTGGGCCATTTTGTCAAGCACCTAATAGGCATATGTCAATTCTTGTCAAAATTATTCGAAAGTTTGTGCCAACATATGTTAACAATTACTATTTTTTGTAGAGACTTGTTGAGGGTCGATGTAAGATACTGTGTAGTAATGTTAAAGATAGCCAAGACTTTTGAACTAAAGTATTTCATCGAACACGTGATGCGCACAATAGAGTCTCATACAAGAAGAAAGAAAAAAAAAGACAAATATAATAGAAGAAAATTTTTGGTTTCAAATGGTGATTCGAATATAAAATATATATATATATATATAAAACTAATGAAAAAAACTTTAAAACTTTGAGTTTTAATCAAAATAACAAAAATATGTTGTAAATAAATAATACCAAAAGTTAAACTTTACTCAAAATGTTTCGTTAAAATTTTCATTAAAAAACTGATGCGTTTGTGTACATTCGACTCTGTGCCAACTTGATGGGTCCCTGATTGAACCAAGGATCTTCGTGCCAAACCACGTGGACTCGCAATGGCTCTATCCGACTCATCATCCACCATGCGGCTCCCATGCAAACCGTAACGCGCGCAAGACTAAATCTCCTTGCCTGCAGTACACGCGCTACCTTCTAACCGTTGAGTGAGACAGAGACAGGGACAGGAATATCCATGTTTCTCTCCCATATGCATTGCAGGTAGCAATCCTCGGAGCCCAATCTGTATCATTTCCTTCGTCTCACTGAGTTGAGCTGAGTTGAGTTAACTCGTCCAGTTCGTTTCTCTGGATCGATATGGAGATGGAAGGATTCAAAGAGAACCCATCTGAGATCCACAGGTTTTGGTTCCTGGGTTTCTTTTTTCTTTTTGTTTTATCTATTTATTTTTTTTGTGCGTACTTTCAACCTTTTTAATCTTTTATTTTAATCATTTTTTCAGATCACTAGCTCTTTGTTTGTTAACTGTTTGACTTAATTAAGTAGCTAAATTTGACGAGCGGATTAATTGTTACTGCTGAGTTCAGCTGCAAGTAGCCAACCTTAGAGCGTGTTGTTAATTAATTGTCATTTTTAGGATAATTTTTTGGGTTTAAGGGAGGCATTTTTTGAGGTAGAGATGAATTCAATGTCCAATTGTTGCTCCCCTGAGCTCAGCAAACCAGCCCTTGGTCAATGATTCAAACTCAAGGTTGAATATTTTTTATTGGAGCAATATTCCACTTTACTTTAGATGAGACTCAATGGGAGGCCTGTTTGGGACTTCTTCTTTAAGAAGCACATATGCTTATAAGCACGTTTGCTAGAAGTGCTTTTAGTAGATCATGTAAAAAAAAACGAGTAGAAATCCAGAATCTTGCTGGTGTTTCTTCAGAAAGTGCTTCTATGATCCTGAAGCTTTTTTAAGTTTTTCAGTCAAATGTAATCAGTAAAGTTTTTGGTTGTCAGAAAGCCTTTTTTTTCCAGAAGCAGTCCTAAAGCGGCCCCATGTTGACCTAATCCCTCCTTTTGGTTTTTTTGTCAAAAATCTAGGAAACTATTAATAGTTACTAGTTTTGATTGTCCAAGTTTTATTGGTAATTGCAGCTTTTCTCATCTTTGTTCTGCTATTAATGTCTTAAACAGCTTCCCTGTCATCAATGTTATAAGTCCGATGAAGAAAAGAAAATTTCACGAGGAACGGTTGGGCTTGCCAACACCAAAGCACAGGTGCTGGGCACGAGTATTTCCATCTGATGAATCCGTCTCCATGTTTGATGGAAACCATGAAATAAAGAATATGCAAAAACAGACGCTGAACAGAAAGATAGACGGGGCAACCCCGAATGACAGGTCTGAACCTGAATCCGGAGGAGGCAGCAATAGTTTCGCCGGAGATTCTGGTTATGCAACGTTGGTTTATGGTGATTCTAAAGTCGGACCCGTGTATGCACAGACATGCCAGTACGATAGGCCTTCCACTTCATCTGGGAACCGCATCAGCCATAGTGCAGATGAACTAAAATATGTGAATGGAGACCATCAACCTATGCATCCACACGGCGAAATACAAGAATTTCAGAATCTTGAAGAACACATCCAGGAATTTGGAAACCGGATGGATTACATTTTTGCAGAATACGGAGATGACTGCATTGAGCAATGTATGGACACAGGTTGCGAAGATCTCATCTACCCCAACGGTTTGAAGCCGAACACATATGTACTTTCATCTGGAAGATGGAGTGTCGACCAAGGTAATTCAGGTGTCCTATTGAAAGTTTATGTTTAAGGAATTTCTATTTGCCTTTACATGTGGAATTTATCTTTGTTTTTACCATTTACTGATCGGCATAGAATTTTCGTCCTCGTGTTTGCAGAGGGTCAATCAGCAGGCAGCAGCAGGAAGCCAACCATTGATCAAGAATTCGAGCAGTATTTTTCCTCGCTAATGCTGTAGAACTAATTGCTCCAATGTGAAGCAATAAATCTATATTTTCTTAAAAAAAAAAAAAAAAAAATTATAATATGTTGACCAGGATTAATGTTGAAAGAGTTTTGGTTCTCGCACACTAGGGAGTCCCAACTCTTTTTTCAAATAAACGATAAGATATTTACAAGGATGATCGGCCTCCAACTTAACCGCATGTGCAATCCAATGAGTGGGATTTTATACAAAAAAACCTCGATGCACATGCTAGTCAAACCATTTAACTTAAATTGTGTTTAATTCAGTTTGATTTCCTAGTCAAATCATTTAACTTGAATTGTGTTTAATTCAGTTTGATTTCCGGTGTAAAACTTTACATTCATCAACCATATGAGCGAAAACTTTCACTCCAAAAAAAAAATACACCACGAATTATGTACACAAAACATCTCCCCGGAGAAAGAAAATCCGTAATATTCTTTTCATGACTCAGGAGATGTTAATGTAGCAAAATAATATGATCATAATTAATCATATTATGAATATTAAGTTAATGCGAAAAGGGGGAAGTATCATTACATTTTACAAGTTCACTCAAGAAAAAGGGAAATCCGGACAGATGGTGACTCAAAATCAACACTTCGGAAGATCGGATGGCGGAGGTGGCAGCTTTTGATTCGCTTGCGGTCCATCCTGGACGATCCACGCCATCCTCAGCCCCCAACTTGTGTGGATATCCAAATGACAGTGCATAAGCCACACCCCTGAAAAACATATCATTAAATGTTACAAATTACTCATCGAGACAATTCGTCTGTTATGTTACTGAACTGTGAGTTGAGCATACCTGGATTGTCTGCTAAAAAACGAACCGCAATCCACCCACCAGCCTGAACACTACCCGTGTTCCTCTCGATGGGATCCACCAGATTAAACTTAGCAGGGTCCTTGTTAGGATCGTAGTTCCCAAACCCTTGTCCAACTACAAAGAAATTAAAACCGTGTAAATGGAGAGGGTGGCTCTCAGCACCAAGAATGCTAGTGTCCTGCAGCACCAGCTCCACACTTGTGTTGAATGGCAGCACCAATGCCTTTGTACCATTTGCCACATTTGTGTCGTTTGGTGGCGTTCCGGTATAGTTAAATGTCACAAGAGGATTGGCTGGAAAATCTGTGGTGTAAACTCCATTGGACTGTCCAGAAAAATGTGCTTGAAGCATTGCTGTTGATGGAAGGGCAAAAGAGAAATTGTTAACAGACGCTGCAAATTTCAGGCCATTGGGACCTTGGCAAGTTGAGTTTTGGGGACAAGGGGCTGTTCCAAGACCTACGGTAAAGAAGAATTTTTTGTCAACGGTTTGGGGAACGTTGGCGGGGAATTTCTTGGAAGCCAAGCTACGGAATTTTTTGGCCAAGTTTTGGACAAATTGGGTAACATTGACAAACTTGGTGGCATTGAAAGGTGGAAGACTTGGTTTGAAGAGAGGAAGGTTTTTTATGGAAGTGTGACGAGTGGTTATCGGGTGCTCGTATTCGAGGATTCCAGCCGTGGTGGTATTGTCTAGGGTTCCACCCCCGGTGAAGTAAGGACTTGCCAGGATGAGGAATGTGGCATTGGGAGAATTGGGCTTGGTTTTGAGGAGGACGTTTGTGGTTTGTCCTGGGGTGATGAGAAGCGTATCGGTTTCAAAGGGTTTGGTGTAGACAGCATCGGCTTCAACCACCGTGAGAGTGTGGTTGGCTATGCTAAAGAATAGCTCATCATTGAGAGCGGCGTTGATCAACCGGAGAAGGTATGTCTTCCCTGGTTTCACCTTTAACTTGAATACATCTGCAAAAATCCACCCGCTCACACAAAAGCATTACAATTTATTTTGTTATGTTGTCAAACAGTTTGACATCTTTGCATTCTCATTTATAGTCTGATAACATAACAATATGTCATAAACACACTACCTTTAGATGAACAGTTGTACAAGGGGCCTGGAAGACCGTTAATGGTGAATGCGTCCGAAACGTTGGGTCCTGCCCCGGTCTGAAGAGCCTGATTAATCACAGCCTCAGGGTCTACATTAAACCACTCTCCTGCAACAAACCCAAATCCATGCAAATCAAAACAATTTCCAAAAACATTAATGTCCAAATTTTCAAAATTGTCACTAATTCTAGCTAGCTTGCTATACGTAATTACCAAGAATAATGGGGACCTCCTTGTAGGGTTTCACAAAAGGGTAAGACTCGTTGCGCTTTGGGAGAATGATGATAGGTCCATATATGGTAGATCTCAGCCATGAGATGTGAGCATGCCATAGCAGAGTCCCTCTCTGCCCTTGGATGGTAAAGTTATATGTGTATGACTGGCCCATCTGTATAGGGCATTGGGTAATGTAAGCTGGACCATCTGCCCATCCACTTCTAAGTTGTTTAACCCCATGCCTGCTCTCACGCACAAAACAAACACATACATGAATAGTAGCTTTGTTTCTTCCTTTCAATCACCACATTTGCTAATTTAGACTTATAGATTCTGGACGTAGATACGAGCTACTTGGTCAGAATAGTATGTTCGTGTTTTTACAGTATAGTTTGTATCTCCCTTATAGATTAGAGTAGTTTAATACACCCCTTTGTTAAAAAGAATAAATATATTTTATATCAGTGAATGAGTCATTTAAACATACATCTGAAGTCCCAAGTTGAATATAGGGGTTTTTAAATATTAGTCCTTGAAAAAAATTAAAATTTAAAAAAATGTTCTGGTGTTAGATTACATTTCAATTTAATCCATTGAAGTATAGTTTTATCATAATTTATATTCAGTTTTTGTTATGTAATGTGTATTTTTATTTAAAGACTCCACATTGAAATTTTGATTTTGTTAATATTCACATATTAGTTCTTTCAATTATAAATGAACCTAAATGAAAAAATACTAAAAGAAATTAGTGGAAATATGTAAAATATAAGTGTACAAAATGACCATACCGAAATATATTAAATTAACTTCTTTGTACCGAAATGCATGTGCCTAAATGTTTGTACCGAAATACTATAATGAACCTAGAATGTAATATACCAAAATGTATTATATTTAATTAATGTACCTAAATGTCAATACCGAAATCTATGTACCAAATGTACGTACCGAAATGTATGTACTGAAATGTATTATATTGAATTAATAAACTTAATGTAAATAGTGAAATGTGTGTGCCAAAATGCATGTATCGAAATATATTATATTGAACTAATATACCTAAATTTTTGTATTGTTGGATAGACCGAAATATATCAAATAAATTAATGTACTCAAATACAAATCATACAAATTGTATCGGGATATATTTTATATATATATATATATAGTTTAACCAAATGTCTACAACAAAATATGTTATAATGAATGGAATTAATACATTAAAATAAGAAAGAAAAAGAGAAATAAAACACCAATATATAATTAATAAATGAGATGATTAAATATTGAGGGACGAAAATTGAAGTAGTTCAAAGAAATAAATGTCAAGGCATCAATATATAATTTTCTATTTATTATATATCACCTTGTTAATAAACAAATAAATAAAATAGATTGCATACCAGTGAATGGTGACATTGTTTGAGACATGATTGATCACTTTGATGAGGACTTTGTCACCCTCCCTTGCCACCAACCTAGGACCTGGGAATTTTTTATTCACACTTACAATGCTCCTTGTGTTGCACAATCTAGTCACATTATGATACTCAATCTGTATATGATAAATAAAAGAAAACAGTTAGAAACTAGTGAAGTTAAATTTAAGAAGTTGTTATCAGCAACACTACGCGATACGCGATAGTAAAAGAAAAAAGATGAAGTAGTTCAAAGAAGAATATTGAGGCTCTCAAGATGTGATGAAAAATTGTACATTGAAAGTGTAGTGTCTTGTTATGCCGGAAGCAAACTCCGGCGTCAACAATGCCACAACACAAAAACTGAACAGAAAAGCTGCCATTGAAGTAGAACAAGGCAAATGCATTATTCTCTCTCTCTCTCTCTCTCTCTCTCTCTCTCTCTCTCTCTCTCTCTCTCTCTCTAGATTGATACAATGAGAGTAAGTGTAAACTAAAGAGGTCAAGGCATCATAATATAGGAGAGCATAGATAGAGATGGCGCGAAAATATAATTGTTCATTAAACTTCAATATTGAGATGGTTTCTACTTGTCTGCTCCGCTTTGGTGTTGGTCGAGCTGAACTTTAGAGTGTGGATTAAGTAAGATTTTACCTGTTCCATCAGTACTAATCTCCGATTAGCATAATTACCTTCTGATCTTATTTTATTGGAGGGATATTAAGCACAAGCAAAAGCTCATGTTGTGGTCTAGAAGTTGCCAAATTTTCATTGATTAAGCAGTTAAACAGTCAATTAATTCATATTGTAATACTTAGCGTACAAATTGTAAAATTAGTGTTTTTAGATGTCACGCCGTTATAGGAAGTGAGTATCCTTCTTTTTCTTTTAGGTCTTCAAATCTGAACTACACAACACAATGCTGTTTTTCTTTCTAAGGTCATTGTTTTCAACTAATACGACTAACACGATGTCAATGTAATTGAAGTTGTTGCAATGAAATTCGATGCTTGTGAAACTTGACATGTTATATTGTTAATTTGTGAATTTATACCGTATAATAAAAAATAATATATAGTTTATTGTTTGGAATATGTGTCCAATAGTTCGCCTTTTATCGGGGCGGTAATAACCAGTCTTTCGTACAAGTATAGTCTGACTGATAGTGTGAATTTTTTTCATTTCTAATCTATGCAGTAAAATAATTAACCCTCTCAAGGATGGGATCATAAAATGGAGAAGGAAATTGATAAAAGTGGTTTAAGTTGAACGGCCTATTGGGGCCAGTGATTGTTAACGCATTTGGACGAAATTCGTAACTTAATGTTTGAGTGATATTATTTCTTATGGACAGGCTTATAGGGGTGGACGACAAATGACACAATCAAACAAACTTTGTAAATTAAGTTTGAGTGCGAAATTCTATTATGGACCGACTTAGGGCTAGTTTGGTATTGTTGTATTTTGAAAAAAACTGCTTCTGCTGTGCTGTAAGGATAAGCAACTGTGAAATAAAGTAGCATAGTGTTTGGTAAATTTTTTTGTAAAAGTACTTTTGGAAAAAAAAGCAGTATGATAATGTTTGGTAAACTTTTATGTAAAACAGCTGTGATTGTGTGAAATAACCAAAAAAGTATAATACTAGATGTGCTATGACAAGCCACAACGTTGTTCGCTGGCAACCTCTTCACCTTCGTCCTCCTCTCCCTCCTCATCTTCTCCTTCCGCATGGTCGTCGAAATTGGGACCCACCTCCTCACCTCCTTCGTCGACCGCGACCCTTCTCTCAAATCCCTCCTCTTCTGCCTCGACCTCGCTGGTGCCAACAATACCAACCACCGCTCTCCTAGATCTCCAGCCGAGTCCCCTTCTCCAATCTCTCTCCGCCGTTGACACTGCCCATTTCTTCACCTCACCCGCGTCAGAACCTTAGACGACGATTTGTTCTCCGGCGATGACAACAACGCTCGCTCCCTCTTCGGCCTCAATCGGATCGCCCCAATCCTCATTTTCTCCTCCTCCTCTCACTCCACCTTCAAATTAGGGTTTAATGGAACTTACGGGACTAGGGTTTCTGAAATTGTGCGCTCCAACCTGAGAAATTCACCATTTCTGATGACAGAGCTAGAGGCAGAGATGGCGACAGAGAATGAAGGGGAGGAGAAAGGCGGCGATGAAGAAATGGACGACTGGGCCGTCGATTTGCAATTCTTGATCAACGGCTTGGAGCTGGGTCGTCGTGACGTGGCAACGTTGTTCTTCCTCCTAAAAGTGTGAGGAATCAGGAGAAACTTTGAAAATAAGCCACTTTTTGAAGCTGCTTTTTGTAGCTTCCACTTTTTAGCTTTTTTTCATCTGAAACCTTGAAAAAAAGCTGGTTAGGGGTGTTTACTAAACACCAAAAACTCTCCCCGGCTTTTTTCTATACCGGTTTTTTTTTTTAAATCACCTCAACCCCAAACCATACCATATATGGTCGAATGACCACTAACACGTTTCTGACGAAATCCGTAAAGGGCCATTGGCAATTTGGCATTACTAGGAGTTATCTCTTAAATTGATTTATTTGATATTCAAATTGAATGAATTATGAATAATTTCAATTATAATATTTGCATAACAAAATAATATCACGTTAGAGAAACGATTCAATCCATACTAACATTCAGACAGGAGAGAATTTTAAGAGGTCCGCATCTCTTACTCATCAACAGGCAAATGGTCAACGTCCTAAGACTTACCCTCAAACGTCAAACCCTAATGATAATTGTAGCTTGATAGGTATGGTGGGTAAGGTCGCAGAAAACTAAGTAAGAATTACTTTTGTACGCATGCTCAAGCTCAAGTCTCCCAACCTGCTTATCATATGTTTCCCTTTATTTGCAATCTTTATTTGGGGCTGTCCACAACTGTTCTGTCTTGGAATCTAAGGAACAAAACATTCAAATTATGTAATGTTCAAATCGTACGACGAGAGTGATGGCCCACCCGATCTAATGCAACCTTTGAAAATCAACAGTATGATCTAATATGTACAAGTATTAGATGTTCTAGTTGTACTTATATGTAGTGCAATGGCAGAGTTGGAATTTTAGGTTAGAAGGGGTCTCTCACAAAGGTAATAAAAAAAAATTAAAAAAAAAAAACACTGTAACACCACCAACAATGCCAGCTCTAAAACAACACTGCAATACACTCTTGAATCCCTCTCTCACACTCGCGAATCTATCTTATTAATCGTCTGGTCATCATCTCAACCACTACTTTACTGCTCATTTTGATGTTTGCTTGCTCAGTGACGCTGGTGTTGATTTTTCAATTTCACTCCATTTCATTATTATGTTCCGATCAGTTGGGAGCCATGTTAATTGGCGAAGAAAACAACCTTACAAAAAATGTAACGAGAACATGAAAATCGCACATGGATGGAAGCATAATTCAAGTTTGCCAACAACCACTAGCACCATGTGAAAAAGATTAAACTCTAAATGAAACAGTTTTCTTGCCAACTTCCTCTTTCTCCCCTTAGGTTGGGGGCCCTAATCCCTTGAAAAATCTTTAGAAATCAAAACAATAACTCTAATTTTTTATCTGTAAAAAAAAAATTGTCAAGGTGGGCCCAGAACCATTCTAGTCCCTTCATGGCTCCACCCTTGTCTAACACCCAGCATAAATATCTTTGATTTCTAATTTTCTAACATTTAGGACCCATTAATTCATATTTGGCCCCTAACACCAAACATGAATTTCTTTGCTTGTCACATTGATACTAAGTCCATATCAAGCTGTTCACAATTAAATCTAAAGAAAATTAATAAAATGACTTGAAAACTTGAAGTTTTAATAATAAGGACAAAATAAAAGATAAAGTGAATAATACTAAGATTGAGTTTTTAGTGTAAAAATATGGTTTTTCGTTAAAATAAACAACACCAGAAATTTTTCGTTAAAGTTCTCTTAAATCCAAGGTAGATTTTGCTTCATTTTCATTGGCAAAGAAAATACTTTTCATAATATATTTTGGAAAAGATTACATTGTATGCATCTTTTCCTCAATTACTTTCCTTTATAGTAACGTAAAAAGAAGTATCCATAATTGGAATATTGGTGATTAGGCAAATCAGGCAATTCTGTCAACTTCCTCTATGTTTTCTTTAAAATAAAAGTCTCTATTACCAGAAGTATATCCCGAAAGACAGAGCTATATTATACAACAAACTAAAGCTACACATGGCTCTCACTGTATGTATCTTTGTGTTTACAACATTCATCGTATACGTAAGAACACAAGTTACATTTCGATTCTAGAACAAATTCTCCTACCAAAACATGTAACTTGTTTATTTTCACGTGATTGGGTATTTGAAAAGACTCTAAAATTTTATTTTATTCTTTTTCCTGTTTTGGGCATTCCACCTTTCTCCCTCCACTCACTCCGATATCATCACGATACAGGCAAAAATTCAAGAAAAAAGGAGGGAAATTATTCCAAAAATGATCAAAACTATATACAGTGGAAAACCAACAAATAAAATCATCTTGTATAACAAATAGAGCTTGTTACGCACACGCTTGACTTCTCGGAGGCAGAGAAAACAGAGTATCAAGGTCAGGCGGCTGGAAATACCCATTCTTCGGCTGCTCCGCTTCGTCTCCCCAACCGCCTTCTTCCTCGGAGGCGGTGGACACATGTTCGCCTCCGGTATCCGGCACTCTCGCCGCTTCGGTGTCGCGCAACCCTCCTCCATTCCCAATCCAGCTTCCCCTCACACCTTCGATCACTTTACTTATGTATAGCAGCACATGGAGCTCGCGCGCGGCCTGTAAAATTTCAAATTGAAAATAATTATTCGAAAATGGCAATGACAGCTAAGCATGAGCGGGAGGGACGACGTGTCAGATTGTTACTGGGAGTTTCTAACTACGTGCGTTTCCACGTGGCCCGAATCCAGCGGATTTTGTATATTTTTCTATTTTTAATGTCGGTGCTAACTTTGAGTCGGTTGGTTTGCGCGGGAAAATTAATCCGTTTGAATGTGTTTTAGTTGGGCTGAAATTTAACTTGAATGTTTGTGGTCCAAGTGGAATTTTAAGGGTAGGCCGTGGCCTATACGGCTAATGGGCCATGTCCAGCTTAAAACGTGTAGTTTCTTTGCTTTTTCAGTCTCTGGGCCCACTATGCATAAAACAGATTTAAGAGAGGATGGGCTTGGAGACCTAGAGTTGAATCATCAATTACCTTTATCTTGAAAATGTAAGGCCCAATAGAAAGATACAAAATGCTATGTTTCCAAAACGCAGTGGGTTATCCTCGCCTAGTGTCATTAGGCGGCTGGTCACCACTCAACTAATCATTTAGTGTTTGAAAAATTAAGAAATGACGTCTAGACATGTGAGAAATGACTCCTCACTCCTCTGAAGCAACGAGAGCGCACGACACCTGCCTAGCCTACCTGCCGTCCCTACTAACACCTAGTGGCTTTTAGAACCTTGGTGGGTTTCAATACATTTGATGTTTGCTAATCTCCTATGGTGAAATTTTAAGTCTAAGACATGGACAATTTTAACATCGTGATATGAACATATGTGACAAAATGACTTTTATCATGTATTTTGCTAACTTACCTACATACAATATTGAAAGAATTGAGGTTCCACATGACACACCCACACCCAATTGGCAATCGATATTCCCCGAACTATCAGGATAGGACTGTTGCCGAGCTTCACCTTAGGGTGCGAAACATTCTTCAATCTCATAAAAGGGAAAGTAAACAGTCGTAATCAATTCACAAGAATAATTAATTTAGTGTGAAAAAACCTGCCCTATTGTTTTACCAATTTATGCAAATTAATTAGAACACACTAGAGATAAATAATAAAGTAATTCAATGCAATATTACAGGGTAGTGGTCCTCCTAACCAAGGACTCCAATTAACGATGGACAAATATGACTATACTCTATGTTCATGACATACTTATGAAAGTATGAATTCCATATTGGAGAACTAAGAGATCTTGTACTTCCTTAAAAGGAGTTGGGCTACTCTCATTTGCCAATTGGTTTTACGTAGAACAATTCCTTCAAGATATCAGAACAGGTTGTTCCACACGAGTGAAGCCCAGCAGTCACATAACCTCTAAGTCACCTAACTTGTGTAGTTGTGTTGTCCGCGTATTAGATTTGAAAATTCATCTCAATTCGGGAACTTGTTGAGATTATGATTCTCACATTGGGTAGAGAACTTTGCATGTATGTTTACGAGGAGATGTACTCATCACCATATTGTTAACTACATTGCAAAATATAAAGTTGGTACAAGAGAAAAGAAAGATGATAGAGAGAAAACTAGAAAGATTGTATTGATTGAATGGATGAAATGTATACAAAATGAACTTAATGAAATACTAGCTATACATTCCCTTATATAGCCATATATTCCAATTACAATAATACCCCTCTAACTATATTTCTGTTATATCAGTTATTACCCCCCCCCCCCTCAAACTAAACTTGGAGTATCTAAGTGAAGTTTGAGCTAGCCAGGTATTTGAGACTGATCTGGAGTTGTTGACACTAAGGCACTGTGACTGGACCCTTTTTGGAACCTTGGATTTGCTGCAAACTGGTGACGTGCATCTTTTCAAACAAACTGAACCCTGTATCATCCTTGTGGAACTTGTGGAAGAAGACGACCAAACTGAACCCTGTATCATCCTTTCAAACAAACATATTGCAGATACAATCTCTCCATCCAAAAAACCAACATTCCTCTGCCCCTCACAGGATCTTCACAAAGAATTTCCATACCTTCTTCATCTGAACCTTTTGAAATTTTCCATACAAAGCCTCTTATAAAATTGTAACACACCCTCAGGCCAGTTATAACAGCTTCATGCGGGATTACCTTTCGTGGGATTTACCGTCAACAACTTCATTTAACATTGGCTTCGGCCTTTAAACAGAAAAATAACAAACTATAGTGTGGCATCGGCCTTAACTATAGCACCACGGGATCGCCCTTTGTGGATTTTACCAAAATACAACTACTCTTAACAGTGGCATTGGCCTTCACAATTTCAACAACAGAAAATCAACATCTATGTAGGATTACCCTTCGTGAGATTTACCTACTTACATCACGGAATTACCCTTCGTGGGATTTACCGTTTACAACTTCATCAAACTTCATCGTATAACCGGACTTACTGTAGATTCATGCTAACAATTGAGTTGGTTAGACTCGACATTATAGGCTGAGATAAACTCCTGAACAATTTAAACCCAATGAAGAGACAACAGAAATTCAAGGACTTACAGTATATAATCTTGAAACTAAGTCCATTTTGGAACAAATTATGATGGCAACAACTGCACTCTCAGGGACCATGAGTAACTTGACCAGCAGCACACCAAGGGCGGGCAGATGGCAGAACAATTGATACAAAAGTTATGGCACGAAGAAGACAGCCAATTCCCATGGTGAACATGTACCGTGCACCTAGTCCAAGGCCAGGAGATTTCACAGAATCAAACAGTACGGAAGAAGCCAACAACATAAACAACATGAGGAGATGATCAAGTCCAATAATACGGGCTCTCAATAGTTCAACAAAGGTATGAAGAAGTTTCAATCACCCAACAGAAACAAAATACTAAGCTGACAATACTGAAAATTTGGATGAAAACAAATGATTGTCACATCCCAAAAGTAATCACATTGAGGAAGCGAAAGAGAGTAGATACCACCCATCACCTAAGTTCTGTTATATGCTCTTCAAAATACAATCTTATTACCATTGCCGAATCACTGCAGTATAATCAATGTCTTCGCTACTTCAAATGACATAGAGAGAGGATTGTCAACAATCTAATATCATGTTTGTTGGAGATGGTATGACACACAACCATTAACCACAGGGTCTAAAAGCATTAAAGATAAACTTTCTACCATTGCAACAACTACTTTAACCATTTCACCAAACCTATAATCAGACATGAAAAGGATAAAACCCAATCTTCATAAGTGAAAGAATGACTGAGAAAGAATAGTAGAACCCCAAACACTTGCATCCAAGATATGCAGTTGCATTGTTCTGACATTCAATTTCACTGAATCATAAGATCAAACACGTGATATGCAAGAACCCATTAGCCAACAACGTTCAGAGACGAAAAGATAGCTGCCAAGAAGCACACGGCCAAGGAGATCGCCGCCAATATAGATGCTGCTGCGACGACGAACTGTGACGGCAGGAAAGCCGGGATAACTAACCGGACCGGCCAAGATAAGGGAGGACACGCGAAGATGGAGTGCCCACACAGTAAGATTACGGTGTCGGACGTGAAGTCGATCAAGATTCACCACACAGTTACATAAAACTGAGCGGACCCGATTCAAGAACCATTGAAGACCTTTGATGAAAATCTGAAAAATCCCCAATTCAAGAACCGAGAAGTTCCCACTTCTAATTTGGCCCAAATGATCAAGATTCCAGCTTACGGACGAAGAAAAATTTGCCACAATTCCAAAGACCAAGATATCATATCACCGATGATATCTGATCACAACCCAGAACGAAAATTTACCCAGAAATTACAGAACAAACTGAACGATTGCGGAAGCACCAAAGAAATTAACGAAATCTCTAACAGAAAAATTAGAAAAGAAGTAAAACTAGATATAGACGAAACTAATGAGAAGTGGAACCACCAAAATCCATGGCTTGAGCCTGGTGGCTCTGATACCATGTTAACTACATTGCAAAATATAAAGTTGGTACAAGAGAAAAGAAAGATGATAGAGAGAAAACTAGAAAGATTGTATTGATTGAATGGATGAAATGTATACAAAATGAACTTAATGAAATACTAGCTATACAATCCCTTATATAGCCATATATTCCAATTACAATAATACCCCTCTAACTATATTTCTGTTATATCAGTTATTACATATTGCCCCCTTTTCTTTTATGTTAGAAATTCAACTTCCTTAATATTAACCATGTTGTCCAGGTATGTTAAAATGTTATGTGAACATCATGTGGCGATCGGATATAAAAACTCACATAATATTTTATATGTCATAGACAATATATACTGTCTAATGAATAAAATACACATTTTAGAACATGAGTTGATTAGTAACACTACGTAACTCTAGCAGTTTAAACAGTCATACAAAAAATTACTCCAAATTCGCCATCTTGTCAACAACATAGTTCTTCTCAGAATGGTGGAATGGAAAATGCTACCTTGAGCGTGTGGGCGATTTCTTAATGTAAGTCCATCTAATGTGTCAAGCTAAGTACTTCTAGCCGTTAAGGTCTCAAAATGTATCAACCACTCCGCTCTGGCGTGGGCATTTGTCCTTAGCATGGTCTCGCTGTGGGGTACACAGTGGTGGCAGTTTCCCACCTGTAGCCACCGCATCTAGAAGACTAGGTTTTGAGTCTTTTGACTGCTAGCACTAGAGGAAGATGCCCCTGCAAAGGACAATATATTAGGACATTTGCCCTTCTTTTCTAGGACCCCCTTCCTTCTCTTCTTTGTTTTAACCCCAAAAGATTACTTACAGCTAGCGTCACTTCTCGGATCAATCCCCTCCTGCTCCTCCGACACCACAGACGTCGACAGCTCGACCCACCCGTTCCCTTTCACTCGTGAAGCTCGACACCAGTGGGACACTACCAATCACACGTGTCCCCACATGGCGCCGCATCGAAAGGGGTTGACTTTGGCGAACACGTCCAAGTTTTTTTCCAACCAAAGATAAGTTGGTTTGTTTTGGTTCTTAACCTGCGCGGCTGCGCCCACTCCACCTCCCTCATCCGCTAACCGACGCCTCTCTCTCTCTCTCTCTCTCTCCCATTGTCTGACGGTCAACCCTAGTTTTGTGTTTTTAAGCGGGTGGGGTAGCAGGAGAGGGAGATAGTACGCACCCTCTGTTTATGTTTCTCGGATTAACAAAAGTCAAAGCCACAAACCGCCAAAACCTGCCCTCACTCTGAAGCAACCACTCGGCTCCCATTGTGTTTCAAGATAAACTTTCTGAATATATATATATATATATATATATATATATATAAGCTATGGTGATGGTGGTTGAATAATACTACCCTAGAATTTTTTTTTATTTTTCAATTTTTCTGTTGCCCATTTTCTAAATCATTTTGCGTGCTAAAAACTAATCTATTGAGCGGTACTGAAACATAGTTTGTGTGATAAACAACTAATGACATATTGGATCACTCCAGTGTGGCACGAAGCCGCTGACGCCGAGTCGATTCCTATGCCACTAGCTATGCCCTGCTTGGTCTCCCGACACGGTGAAGATTCCATAGTGCGATTACTTACTATTATATACTACATTGTAAAACAAAGACTTATCGTCGATTAATCCTGTAACATGTAAACTTATATATACTGCTTAATTGTATTTTAGTGTCATGAATTAATTTTTTCAAGTACTCGTGGTGGAGTGCCGATATACGTGGTTGTACATATATACATAGCTTTGTTTCTTTCAAACTATATCATTGATCACGTGTATTTTGTTTGAATTGTTGTCAAGATTAACAAAATACTATTCTCTTCGAATAGTCTCCTAATTGATGAATTTGGGTGGACAATTAGTTGCAATAATTAATTTTGTTTTCTTTCTTGTGAGAAAGATCGAGGCATGCATGCATGTGTGTGTACCATTATGTTGTTAGACATTGGCACTGACTGTTTGCACCGCCAGCCATCAAAAGCAAAAACAAATCTCTCTAAAATCTAAAATAATGAAAGCGTAGAGATTTGGAAACTGCAAAATAGTTGATCTCTTGGATTTAATGTGGGTCGGTATTCTGGAAATATTCAATTAACACGCATGCTTAGTCTTGTATGAGTATATATAAACCTTAATTACAGGAGGCTCTAATTATGTTTTATCTTCTTTTTGCATGCTACTCATCTCACTTGATCGAGACTTGGGAGAGTTGGAAAAGAAAAGTTGGGGGAAGAATTAAAGTAGGGTTTCATACTTTTATCAGTCTAATTAGAGATTAGATCCTCTCTTGCAATCAACGACACTCATTTAATAAATATTTGTGATGTGTTAAAAAAGTTAACCATTCTTTTAATAAACTTGCACTTAGATTGCTACAATCTTAGTCTTGTCCGGTACAAACTTCGATGTGTCAATAAGCGACTTGCTGGAATGTACCCACCTAGTTTTCCAATGATGGAAAGTTCTCTTGCCGCCTGCGTAGCCATGGTATAAAACCCAAAGTTCTACTGCGGTCACAAGGCATACGCCTCCACATGTTGACATTCAATCCAACCTAGTAGTAAGCAATCCGTCAAAAACGACCAAAATATTTCTTGGTGAACGACGGCAGCCTGATTATCAGTTGAACTATGTAATCAAAGGATCCACAAAGGCTACTTTTTGGGAGGTGAAATAGTGTGATGAATTGATGACATGAGATTATAGGCAGTTTTAATTTTGTTAATTAAAAGGTCATCACAGTTCATATCTACTCCTTTTATAAAGTAACTATCCAGCTAGCCAATTATATGCTTCCTTAAAGAATTTAGAAAGAAGTGATAATGAAGTTCAAGTCTTTAATCTGTTTTTTTAAAGAAAGAGGAGAATGTAATCTCTTTGAAATAATGAAAAGGTATTTTTTTTATTGATTCTTTAGTGGTTGACTCTTGCTTTGGGTTGAAAATTGGGTCATGGTTCAGGTAGCATTGGTCCACCTTTGATGCCTCTATAATTCAAAATTTTCTCTCATCAAAACACACATTATAACAAGACAAAGGACACGCTAAATGAAGACAGAAAATGCTGCAAAGCAACAAAAGAAAGTAAATGATTTTTCACCCGACTATCATGCGATTTCTCAGATATGGATCTAGCTAAATTAGTTAGAGCGGATGTATTTCTTTATGTGCAGGTAGAGTTTGAATCTCATCTCTGCAGTTTAGATTATCTTTGTGCACACCTTTATTTAATTATGTTCATTAATTTTCTTTTCATTTATCCAATTCAATGGTAAAAATATTAAACAGATGCGTACAACCAAAAAAGCAGTCTCAATTTACCTCACAAACTTTTTCCTGGTAAATTAAGATCATGAAGCCAGTGTGTTGCACACCGGAATTGTTTTTTAATTTCATGCAGTCGTGAAAATTATTGTTCTTAAATTTGATCTGTGTAGGCAAGGCATTGAAATTACCCTAGCATATATATATATGCACAAGGAAAATGACCCCATATTTTTTAAAGTGCCCGTAGCTAGGGTTGTGCAGTTTACCAAATATGTTTACTGTTGAATAGAATTCTTCGTTAAGTCAAAGTACAATGCATACAAAACCAAAACCCGCTTACTTTAAAAGTCAAGAGGCAAACACGTAGACGTGACAACTTCCCCTCTTCATCTGCTCCACCTTTTCCCTTCTTTTATTTCCTCACCAGATAATACACTCTCTATAATTCGCATCTTATCAACTCGTTTCCTCTCAGCTTCTCCTTCTTCTTCTGTTACAAATGGAGGAATCAATAGGCTGCTACGTGGTCGGACTGGTCGGAGGAAGAGCTGGTGAGGGAGCTTCTGGACAATGATTCACCACTCTTTGTGCTACCGGAGGAGGCTGTGCAGTCCCGAGCGGCTAGTGTTTTCGGCAAAGAGGCTATCAACCGATTCATCCCTAACGTCTATTCGGGTCCAACGATCCAAGATATCGAGGCTGCTTTGTCTGTCACAACTGGAACAGTCCAACCCCAAGAACTTCCAAACGCCAGGTTTGTATATTATGTTTCAATAATTTTAAGTTCACCATTTTTATAGAATTGTTAATTAATTGGGTTTTTTTTATTTTTTATTTAATTTTTATGTAGTTTGTTATAAATGCATTTTCTTATTTTGCAGGCTGTCATTGCTAGAAAGGGGTCTGAGTAAGGTTGAGCATAAGTACACTCTGAAGATCAAAAGCTGTGGAAATGGAATAATGGCTGATGATGGTTATAAATGGAGGAAGTATGGCCAGAAATCCATTAAGAATAGCCCTAATCCTAGGTAACTATTTACTATATATATATCTCCTTCTTCTTCCCCTTTATCTGGAGTTAAGTGTTTTTAAAAGCTTTAGGGTATTGATATTATTGCAGCCCTATAAGTGTGTGTAGCTCAAGCAGTTACGAGCACTCAGTTCTACACCTAAGGCCATCGATTCTCCACCTTTTTATATCGCTTGTATATGAAAGAAATCTCATTGTTCATAAGCTCTTGCAAAGAATAATACAAGGCAAAATATAAGAAAAGTATGAATAACGCTACCTTTCATAAAAGATAACACGTCCAAATCTATATATTATTAATTAACTTGAAATGATAATTGTTGAACATAGTCAAATCATTTGTGTATTAGGCACCTAAACAATTCAACTTTGCATTGAAAAATCTATAAGCATCCTAAACCACTTCATTATCTTATGCGTCTAAGAGTCGAAATTAATCGGCGTGACTCGGACGACTTTAATACTAATTAAGTAGATTAGTTCACGAAATGCTCTCTAGTTAGTACTGCAGCATGAAGCCAACCTACCCTATTCAACACCTTAAGCAAGTAGATTATCCTTAAATATGCCTACCAACGCCAGTACCTTATAGCCTAAATGAGGTCTAACCCTAGTACTAGGCCATTAGACAAAGGTTGACATATTGCTACAATCACACAAGTTCATTAACTTTCAACTGCAAGTGGCCGGAGGATTATTCTGGTGGATAAGACCTTCCTCTTCAACTCACTGAATTCTACGTTCAAACCATTCATCCTCCCTTTATTGTAGTCTGAAGTAATAATATCGCTTGTTTGAAAAAAAAAAAAAAATACTTTCAAACGATTTATTTTCTTTTATCATTTAATTTACATCTGTCACCCAGCTCTATTTCTGGATTGTGATACAGGAGCTACTACCGGTGCACAAATCCAAGATGCAGTGCCAAAAAGCAAGTAGAGAGGTCCAGTGAGGACCCAGACACACTCATCATCACCTATGAAGGGCTCCATTTACACTTTGCATACCCATTTTTCAACCTCAACAACCAGGCCCAAAACTCCACTCCACCAATGAAGAAGACCAAGAAGAAAACCTCGGATCCCCAACCCGAAGATCAAGAACGAGAAGCGCAAGAGAGCCCGCGAAGCGTTACTCCCGATCAGTTCCGGATCTGCCGCCCGGCCCGTTTCTGGACCAGCATTCAAGAGTTTGTGGAAGAAGAGAGAAGCTCACAAGGGTTGCTTCAAGATATGGTGCCACTCATGATTAGGAACCCTAAACCAACAAGTGCTTCTTCAAACTCTTCATGTTCCTCTTATCGTTCATCTCCAACGTCTCCTTCTTCTCTATCATGGGCCACTTCCTATTTTGACGTTGGCATAAATCATAGTTTTGGATGAATCTATAGATATCTCTGTGGGTTAAACCCTAATGATTAATCTAGTTTGTTATTATATATATATGTGAACTATAAAATGTTGAACAATAACGATACGTATGTTAAAAATGCGATGTAGATTTTATTTGTCAATATAAGGAGGCAATAAAATATTTGAAGCCACACGGTAGTAGATAAGTTATTTTGCTCTTATGTCAACAATTTGAATGAAAGTTTACTTAGTAATGTTCTCACAAATTGTTTTATGGTGAACAATCAATCTCAAATATTATTCTTAAACTGAGGATATACAAAGCTAAGATTATGACACTTGTCTTAAGATAATTGTATGAGAATTCTTAGTTTATTAGAGAAATGGTGGTGCTATTGACAAACCCATTTTTATCTTCTTTACATCCTTATCAATTTTCGGGCGTCGAATTGAATGTATTGAAGATAATCAAATGATAGAAATTAACAAGGGGTGTGCTAATAGCATCACCCTTAGAGAAATTGTTAGTCATTGTTGTCGTTGTGGGTTTTTTTTTTTTGAACTGAAAAGTAAGCGTAAATTGTAGCTATGGTCCCTTAACTTTTAACTCAATTGGAGCGATGATCCCTCAACTCATCAAAACGTGCAGCTATGGTCCCTCAACTAAAAATCCATTACCATTGGTGCCTCAACTTTAATTCAACTGGAAAAATGGTTCCTTAACTTTAACCCAATTGTAGCAATGGTTCTTCCAACATAACTCGTTTTGACAAAAATTTTGACGTAGTTGACGAAAAGGACGATAATTACAGACTTTGATGAATTGAAAGACCCTAATTGTATAAATGGTCATTCCAACATAACTTATATTGACAAAATTTTGACGAAATTGATGAAAATTACTATAGCTACACATTTTGATAAGTTGAGGGACCAATGGTAATGGATTTTTAGTTGAGGGACCATTGCTACAATTTACTCGAAAAGTAAACTTCATTAAATCAAAAGAAGGTTCATGCCAATAATAGGATTAAAAGCACACCACAAAGTAGCACACAAATGTCCTATTGAATTTTCTTATTAACACTAAGATTTGTCAATTGTAGCATATGAAAATAAGGATCTTTCCCGTAGAAGATTGTTTTATCTAACTATTTAAAATGTCACAAAAACTGGATTATTGTCCCTACTAACCAGCCACCGAAAAATAATTATTAGACCGACTTATACTGATCTAATGTTTACAAAATTTTATATACAGACACTAGATACACAGAGCTACACTCACACAAATTTTTGAGATTTTTGGAGTTGATTTTCTGTTTAAATTAAATAAAAAAAAAACATAACAGAAACAGATTTTAAGTAGTTCACAAATTAAGAAAACGAGTTAGGGGAATTGCTATCCACCACCAAATAATCATACAAACATGTTATGTTTCATTCAAATTCCTTTCATTTTCGGATGAAGATGCTCAAGTTGGCTCAATGTTAGAACTCAACCTATTACTCTTTCTTATGTGGTATGTTAAGAGAATGACGTTTTCAACTTAACTTAGTCCCTATCATACAATCTAGAATGGCGTGTTTATAGATTTAACAAGTAGAAATCATTAAGAATGAAAAAAGTTTGAGTCATCACAAGGCATCGTAAGTACTAGCATTGTCTTACTTATCCTAGAAATTGATTCACATGTTAATCGCAATTAACAAGTACTACTCTAGAACATATGTAGGTCCTCATTCGACAAGGGCAGACACACACATATTCATAGCATTAGAATCCTAGATATGGTTACTAAGTATGCATCCGTAGAAAACACATAAAGAATTCATCAATGAGACAAGTAGTGAACCAATTTTCATCTATTCATAAAAGTAATTCAAACGAAATGTCATAACAAACTTGCAAAACAACCCCTAACTACTAAAAATTTAGTTACACATTATTCTCAAATAAAACCAAAAGAAACACATGGGTTTGAGAAGATAAAACCGAAATAAGAGAATGCCAAGATTTCCTCATTCCTTTCCTTCCTTCCCCAACGTAGAAGCTTTGCCTTTTTTTCCTTCATTTTCTTCCCTTTTTTCTATCTTTTTTTTTTCTCTCTCTCTGCCGTTGCAACCTGTAGCCTTTTTCTTCTTGCTTGCTGCCACATTTTCTTCTCCATAACTCACCCCACTAACAACCATTTAGTGATGACAATAAGTGAGAGAAAATGGTAAAACAATTGTTACTCTTTGGGCAACCTTTATGCCAATTACTTCCACTTAATCCTCATCTTTAATTCCATTTCATTTGATATTTGAATAGGTGTCAGCTAGCTTATTCTTGACTGCATCAGTTTTGGCTGCTAGTTTTATTGGATTTATTGCTTTCAATGTTTTATTGTCAGTTACAAATTGTTCAGCCTTTTGGGAACCTTTCAGTATTAAAATGGCCATAACTTCTTCTAGAAAAATAATATTAGCAATTCGCGAAATGCTCCATAAAATAGACATCCGTAGATTTCCAAGCATATAAGGCTCATTTTCTAATTCAGTCTGAGCTGTCCACAACTTGCTTCCAAAGTCAGCTGACTTGCATAGGCAGTTTTGACGAAGTTGTTACTTAAAACCCCACTTGTGCTATTTTCTTTTCTTTGCTTGACAAATCCTACAAAATAAAAAAAACAAAGTAAATAGCTCAAAAATATAAGGAACTAACTAAGAAAAGACAAGTGAATTTGATGTAAAATATATATAAATATGAGCTTATCAACCAACAGAAATAACCCAAATACAATGGGGGAACTAGATACATAAAAGGCCAACCCAATTAATAAGTGAAAAGGAAAACCTAAATCCTTAATGTCCAATTGCAGAAAGCAGCGTCCGCCATGGTCACCACCACAAAGTCATGCTAGTGGCTGATGAAGCTTTAACACTAAAGAAAACGACCGAATGGTGAAACTGACCAAGACATCGCTGCACAAAAGTACCAAACCCATAACCAAAAGCACGCCACATCCAGATTTCTTCACCAAAGATGTTGGACCAAAAGATAGTCATCGGATCCAAAACTCATTCACTAGTCCTTGCAAATATATACAAACAAAGTAACACATGGATAGAAGGTGAAGCTAAGGGTGTGAAATCCCGTCCTCGGAATTTCACTATTCATTACGTATCTCGTTATTTAAGTTTGTGTTTCACGTTTACGTTATCTTTATTAGTTAATTTTAATTCTGTTAATTTTAGGAATTAAATCATCGGGTTTGAATTTTCGTAATTAATTTTTAAAATTCGTTAACCTTCCAAGGTCACAATTAATGTTTTCAAATAAATCTCGAAACCATGAGCGCATAAGCGAAAACTGTTTGCGTGTCCTGATTAAAATGGTATAGTTACGGACATTTAAAGTCGTTTTACTAAACTATGGATTATAAATTAAATAAACTTCCACCTTGTGGGAAAGAGGCCTAATCAGATTATTGTTTAAGTGACCAATCATATATGTTAGATAAGGGACCAATCAGATAAATAAGAGGAAGTGTGAGGCCAATCAGGAAGGGAGAAAAGGAGAGGAACGTTCTTTCACATTCTTCCTTTCTCTTGAGGGAAAAAAAAGAAGAAAGAAACGGGGAGGAGGTGGCTCTTCCATAGCTTTTGGAAGAAGATCTTCTTTCTTCAGAGTAAAATCGGAGAGAGGTGACGAAATCTTTTGATAGGATTGAGTAGGATCAGAGTAACTATAAAAGGGGTTAAAGGGGCTGCAGAGAAGGGGCAAAACATCAGAAATAGAAAAGGGGGCAGAGAAATTGAGAGTTAGAGAACGTGATTGTGAAGGAAGGATTCAGAGATTTGAATGGTAAATTCCTTGTTCCTTGACTATCTTGGTTTTCATATTTAATTTCCTTAAGTTGAATTGAAACTGCTATTATATATTTGGAGTTCTTAGTTTTATAAGGTTTTCTATCATTCAATGAACCAATCTGAACATGAATTAGAGTTGGATAATTCGGATTGGGTGTGTAGATCAAATTTCTTGATCAAGGGTTTGGTTCAAAAGGTCAATTTCTTGTTAATTTTGAGTCATGTTAGTTTTGGATGTTGTATACTTGACTTCTGGACTACCTGGAAGTATTTTTGTTATATGAATTGGAAGTGGACCATTTCTTTGCAAAGAAAACTCAAGTTTCGAGTAGTCTTCTTTGGCTCTTAATTTCTAGGTCTTTGTGTGCTCCTTTGGAGAAATTTTTTAGTGTGTTGAAAGTACATATGTTCATGATCATAACCCAATTGTTTTCACTTAGTTCCATTGAGTTTTGGTTGATCAAAACCTTATTTAAACTTGGGTCGCGAGCTGCCAAACAGCAGCAGAAAACTGGGTTTCCAATTTCATGACTTCATTTTTCTTTTTGGCATAGCTTCCAATTTAGAGATCCCTACAAACTTTATATGCTTTTAAAGTACAGAACACAAGCTTCAAAACCCATATAATATTACACGATTTGGTTTAGTTTTGAATGTTCCAAAGGGAGCCTAAACTTGGTCCAATAGTGCTGTATTTCTGCAGATTTGGTGAAGAAGCAGAGTACTATTTTGCCACACCTATTTTCTTTTCCAAATTCCTTTCTAATATTCTTTACTACTAGGTGAGTGGTAAGATTACAGAATCAGTGTACTTTCTTTAGATAATATTGATTTTGTGATTAAACACTTAGTTTGGTTATTAATATGTGTTACTTGTATTTATACTTTTGATTGTACTTTTATGTTCCGATTAGGTTCTTCAAAGGAACAAAATTAATCGAATTCAAGGTAGGGGGTTCTGGGAAACCTTATATGTATTAATCTAATTACTGCTTACTTTTGGTCAACATGCTATGAATTGATCTTAAATATTAAAAATCAGTATTACTAGAAACTATGTAGGGCTTAGTGGGCCTATATTGGCTAGTGAGTTATCCCAGATAATATATACATCAGTTTATGTGTATGGGACACCATATTGTGATATATATATATATATGTGTGTGTGTGTGTGTGTGTGTGTGTGTGTGTGTGTGCGCTTATTTATCTTCTTAATAATGTGAATGATAAGTATGATAAATGTTATGACAATGTGATCCTAGAATCTTATTAGTTGTATTCTGTAGAACTTATATGCTTGTGTGATATATTAGTTGGTGGCCATGAGAAG